CTCTCTCTCAACTGAGTCTCTGATTATTCTTTTCCTTCTAATCACACGAAAAAAATGTCACCCTAAGTCGCGAGGCTTAGAATTAGCCATGGCATAAGCAGATACTCGTTAGGCGATCCGCTAGCCAGGCATATGTACCCATATCTTCCTCTGACAAACTGATGCTCAAGTATCGCCGGAAACTCACCTGAGGACGATGGATGAGGAGTCTATGCTGGGCCCACAGCCGCTATCCAGCAGGATTCCGCCGTTCCCGACAACACTGCAGCTGCGGAGGGGGTTCTTCGGCCACCGCAACTTTCTGTTCTGTACCAGGCAAAGTAAAGGGGAATATCGTAAGAATCGTAACGAAAGGAAGGTATGAGGGCGAAAGATATATATCTTATTTGTGCTTGTCCTTATTTGCTTAGTTTGTACTTGAATGTCTACCAAAGAAAGCGGCAGTGAAATAACGAAACTGTAGCCATGATTAGAAAGAGGAACGAAAATGTCCACTTGTATTCTTAGTATTCTTAGTCCTCTTTAAGGTTATTTTAACTTCCTCATGTTTTCAAAAGAGAGCAAATTTTACATAAATAATAGACTAAATTTCACTGGTAAAACGTTAACATGTTCATCACTTACATCCGTAGACGGCAGTATCTTATGCAACTGTGGAACAGCGAAGTACTGGCTCGTGTTTCTGTTCTCGAAAAACAGCAGCGGAGACCCGAGCGGCGTGTTCTCCTGACTCGCGAACAGGTACTTTTTGACGTGCGTCTCTTTGAATACGTCATTCCTGCATGGCAAAGAGAAATCATTGAGTATTTGTTCTATCCAACTCACCCACTCACTCACTCACTCACTCACTCACTCACTCACTCACTCACTCACTCACTCACTCACACACACACATACTCACTCACTTACTCACTCACTCAGTCCCTCCCTCACTCACTCACTCACTCACTCACTCACTCACTCACTCACTCACTCAGACAGTCCCTCACTCACTCACTCACTCACTAACTCACTCACTCACTCACTCACTCACTCACTCTCGAGGTCACTCACTCACTCACTCACTCACTCACACACATACTCACTCACTTACTCACTCACTCACTCAGTCCCTCCCTCCCTCCCTCACTCACTCACTCACTCACTCACTCACTCACTCACACACTCACTCACTCACTCACACACTCACTCACTCCTCACTCACTCACTGACTCACTCCTCACTCACTCACTCTCGAGGTCACTCGGAGTCTTTTCATGACTGTCTGCTTTCATTTCTCTGTATCCTCCATCGCTGCAGACAGTTGACCTTTATTCTATATCATTCAAAGATTAGTCTAAAATTATGTAAACATTTTAACTGTTGGAAAAGTCACTGTTTAAACTCGAACATAGAAATCTCTACTTACCTCAATTTCTTTATCCTCCCATAGTTGAACGGTACATCGGGGAGTTTTGTGAGTGCGGCCGAATCGTTGACCTGCCCCAGGAGACTTTGATAGGCGTCTCTGTTCGGTAGAACGTTTCTCCTCCTAGTACGGGGTTTGGAATCAACCCGAGGCGCAGACGCAACTTGGGGATCTTGCTGAGGCGCTCTATTGCTGTGTGGAAAATATAGTAATCGTGAAGTCTTAAACTTAGGATTTTTGGCGGAGGTAAAAATCCTAGTTAGCTCTCTTACGTCTACTTTCGTAGTAATGACGTACTAGTACTATTATTATTATAAACGATGATTAGGGGTATGACGTCATGAGCGGCATATCTGGGTCATCCTGGTTTTAACTACCAGTAATCGTGTATCACAAATCGTAGAAGCTTTCTCTTTTTTGGCACAAGATTTTGATTATGGTAAGGACCAAATTCTGTCAGCACTCGAGAAGGTAGTAAAAACGCCCTACTACATGTAACGTTATATATCAATTACTTCACCTGATCTAAACATTGTGTCATTCTGTCACAGAGAATGGTGTCACTGAATACATGATTAACCCTACACCAGGTGATTATAGTGTAAAAGACGACATGTATTGAAATTCACACTAGTCTCTACAATAAATACACTGCATAATATTTCATGCAAATACTGACATAGTCCAGACACTCTATAGCGACAAAAGTATCATGCTCTCATTTTTGTTACTTTCTCCAAGAAGGTTATGTTTTCCGTAGCGTTTGTATGTAGCGCTTTGTTTTGTGTAGTGTTGCACGATAACTCAAGAAGCTATGGATGGATTGTCATGAAACTTGGTCGGTCGGTAGGTCTTGATGAGACGCCTTCGAAACGTTTAGATTTTGGGTGCCCTGGCGACTTGTTTTATTCATATATAACTCGTACCTACCTCGGGAAAGACTTCACGTTACGTCTGAGATCAGTAGACTCGTGGAAGTCCAGTTGTTTGGGAAAAGCGTCCCACGTTTCACAGTCGTCCTCCCGGAGTCTGGAGGTCAGGGCGAGCAGGTACATGTCCTGCAGCAGGATGAACAGCCCCACCGTCACCAGGATGTTTCGGGACGCCGTGCGGAGAGCCCACCAGGGGGACGCCGCCGCGGACTTCTGGACTACCCCGGGCGGGTAGGTACTGAGTTGGTGTTCCATTTCGTGCGCCAACAACGTAACGTCACTTCTGTCCGGTATCACACACAATTACAGTGGTTAGAACTTAGAAATCTTCCTGGCTTCAGTGCTCACATGCCTAGCTCCAAGGCTACCCGTGTCTGTATCTCAGTTGCTAGTTTGAGACAGCGTTAGACAACTGTTAACAGATCGGCGCATACGCAGGTGCACCTATTTATGCTGCATCGCTAGGTGTGACCGACTGACCGGTTCCACTGACCAGAAACTGGTCGGACCGCTACGCTTGGGTGGCGCTACGATAAAAGGTAATAGACCGATCCGGATCGGACGCATCGAACCACCTGTTCTATTTCGAACGCCTCCGCCAAATCAGCGCGGGTTTTGACGGAGGTGTTCGAAATAGAACAGGTGGTTCGGGAACAGAGTTGTTCGAAATACTAGTAGAACATCATAGAACATGGGGCGGGGCTTATTGTGTTCGATCCGGATCGGTATATTTGCCACCCTCCCGAGCAGGGTCAGTGGCGCGGCCCAAAAGAACCTACCGCAAGAGTGTATATTTGCCAGTGTAGAAAAGGTTCTATAAGGGATTTGTTGCTAAAAGTAGTAGTGAAATCTTTATTGTTTCAGAATTTGTACTAGTCATTGGAATAGCACTTGACAATAACACATGGGTCAAGGAGTAGTTGACAAGACTACAGAAGAATTTTTTTTCATATTGGTTCTAATTTATTAGCCTAATGACAAAAAAGGCTAAAATGTTAATCTTATAGTTGTGAATTGTCATATCTATAGCTTTATACCTTTTTTAACATCTAACTAAGAATACAGGGAATTGGCACACAATAATGAATAACAGTTCAACTCCGATACAAGTTCAACGCATTTAATCAATTAGAATATAACTTAGAAACAGAACAAATGTTGTTTACTGAATTTTAAATATTTCACTGTTTGCATCTCCCGATGTGCATTTTGATGACGCCCTTCTTGTGCAGTTTCTGCAGCAGTTTGAACTCCTCCGGCAGCTTGTGGAAGGTGTTGTTCTGCGTGTGCTGGTAGTCGTACAGATAGTAGTGGTACGGCACCTCCTGACCATCATAGTCCACCGGGAACGGCCAGTACCCGTACAGGTGTGTCTGCTTACACATGGCGAGGGCGATGGTGGTGAACACCAGGCCTGGTGGGGCAGAAGGAGGGATGAACGAATGGATGAATGAATGAATGAAGGAAGGAATAAATGAATGGATGGATGAATGAATGCATGATTAACTGATGGATTCAATAAATGGATGAATGAATGAATGAATGAATGAATGAATGAAGAAATAAATGGATGAATGTATGAATTAAAGAAGAAATGAATGAATAAGTGAGTGAGTGAGTGGGTGAATGAATGAAAAGGATGCTCAGTCACAGATAGTCCAAGCGTATCCGGAACCGTGTCCGGGGCAAATCTACGTTCCTGGATAGGCGGAGACTACCTAGAATCGTGTCTGAGCCTAACCCTAACCCTTAACCCATTTACGCATATAACAAGTAGCCTCTACCAGGCTTGAGGGCACGGCTGGAATTATAGTAGAAATCGGCCCGAAATAGAGAGATAAGGCCCACGTGGGCCGGCAAACTGTAAACTGGATGGCTAAACTCCCTCGGCGTGTTATCTCTCTATTTCGGGCCGATTTCTACTATAATTCCAGCCGTGCCCTCAAGCCTGGTAGAGGCTATATAACAAGTAACACCTCACCGCTGCTCGCCCTTTCACTGGTCAGCCCGTTTTCCTTCCAGAAGTCGTTGACGGCCCGCAGGAAGACCGGATGTGACGACACGATCTGGCTTTTCGCCCCCATGGCTCGCACGATCATGATGGCACGCAGGACCAGTTTTGCCTTCAATAACAAAACGCACGTGACGCCCTTGACACATATTTTGTATCTATATCTGTATAGCGGTATATTAAACCGTTCCTCGGCGTAACACACACAGAACCTTCCCCCGACCACCAACCAAGGTTGGCGGCAGGTTGGAAGCAGTCTGGCCAGATTTAGGCCACTCCTACCTTTCGATACGAAGGGAATCGAATTTGGGTTAAATTTGAGTCAAATTTGACTGCTCACCATGCGCCGACCACTGCTGGCCTACTCCCAACCAGCAGCCAACCAGTCCACAACCATGGCCCAACCTCCCATCAACCCGCGAATGTTTTAAACATTTTGAAACATTCGTCTGGCGAAGCCAACCTCGCCGAACACCATGGCCAGCCACATATATGGCAGTAAATTAGCGTTATTTTTAACTAGAAGAAGATTTATGAAAAACAAAATGACAGTGTACCTTTGAGTCATAGTGGAACATGTGTGTCCATAGCTTGGTCCCCTCCGAGGTGTCGTACTGTTTCAAGTATTCAATAAAGTCCGTGATCATCTTTTCTTTCTTAAAGTCAAACAAGCTGGGAGGGTGAAAAGTGTCACTGTCACTGTCAAGAACAAGTTTCTGTTGAAATAGTTCCTTTTTCACACAATATATTATCACACACAGATGTAGATACAAGATGTTTGCATAACATAACAAGGTACGTCAATATAGTACGCCATAAAGCAGTTACCCAAGCAACTGGATATGATTTTGAAAACAGTCAGACGTTTCAGGTAGAATCCACTACCTTTCATCGGTGACACTAGTATAATCTTTATTACCACTTTTTCTTCTTGTCCTTCTTCTTGTATACTGCTGAGCCCAATTTACATTGGATTAATAGCAGCTGGACATGTGTTAGTTACAAAACAGGTGACCGGTACAAATAAAAACAAGGGTAACTGAAGGAGGGGACACTAAGGAACGTAAATAACTGAATCTGTGGGTGAAAAGACATGACAGTGCATTTAGTGTGTTAGTAGAACATATATACATATATACAACTTACACCACAGTTATTAAGTACTTGTGAATAAAGAAAATTGCTGTTCTTAACTCACAATTCTTTAAGTCCGGAGGGGTTCATGGAGATGAAGTTTGCTTTGGTTCCGACGTCCTCGTAATAGTCGACGCTTGCCTTGATGTTGTTTCCGCTCGCCTTGGAGAAAAGCTCCATAGTCAGGGGAGGGACGTTGTTCCTGTCAAGGCAAAACTCAATGTTGTTTCGGTTCACAGTATTACAATTATCAAACTCGCCAAAGCTCCCAATTATATATTCGCCTATTTAGAACCTCCCTGGCTCAAATGAGTATGAAATTTAAATGTATGGAGTGATCTTTCCCTCAATGAAAATTTCAGATCTTACGAATGTAAAAGTTTTTATATATTACTACCTTTTATTGCAATTTGATGATATGTTTATATTTTATCTTATAACAAGTTTTGAGTAAGATTGTGTTGTACGGAATCAGCAATTCAGCCTTTCGAGCTGCGAGTGATTTATATTTCGATAAATCACTTATCACCAAACGCGATTTCAAGTCTCAAACAAAATACCTGAGCACATATTGGCTGGAGTCAATGTCAGGCCCACAGCTACTGTTCAACAGGATTCCTCCGTTTCCCACCACGCTGCAGCTTTCGTACAGCGTGTCGGGCCAGAGAACCTCCTGCATGGAGAGACAAGTTATGAAATGTAACTAATGCGTTCTGCTACTTACTAATGGTGTCGTGTAAAGTGCCTTTACCAAGGACACAAGGTTGGTGACATGGACATGGCAGGATTCGAACCCGGGACCTCTTGGTTCTGAGCCAAATGCTCTGCCGTTACGACACACGACCCTACAATGATGGACTATTCATCATTATAATCCTAGATCCTACCTCTGGTAGAAAGTTGTACACATCCGGGATCATGTAGTAAGTGGACTTGTTCCTCCCCTCGAAGAACGGAATGACGGAGCCGAGCGGCATCGTCTTCTTACTCGCGTACAGGTAGTCCTGGATCTGCGTTCTCTGCCAGATTTGCTTCCTATAGAGAGATACGGGAAATACACAAGGATAGCACTGTTTTTGCATCCCAGAACATACACACACACACAGATGCAAACACACAGATACACACAGATACGCACACACACACACATTAATAAACGCACACACACACGCACACACAGACACACACACACAGACACAGACACACATAGACACACAGACACACAGAGAGACACACACACACACACAAACACACACACACACACACAAACACACAAACACACACACACACACACACACACACACACACACACACACACACACACACACATACACGCACAAACACACACACACACACACAAACAAACAAACAAGAACAATACTTCCGTACCCACATGTAACAACGACATTACCTAATCAGTTCGATACGAGCCATGTTGAAGTCCAGATCCGGCAGTTTCTCCAGCAGTGACGAGTCGGCCACCTGCTGTAGCAGGTCCTGGTACGCCTTCTTGTTAGGTTTGTACTTCGGCATTTTACGTCTCAGTGGTGCCAAATGCTTCACGTCTTTCTTCACCTTTTGAATTTGAGGTAATTCTTTGCTGGAATAGAAAACATTTTATTTCATTACAACGTTTTTCTATGGTCTTTAGACGAGTAAGAAAGTGAGTGAGTGAATGAGTGGGTGGGCAGGTTGCAATTGGTGGTTAGTTGATTAAATTAATGAATTATAAGCGAGCAAATGAAATTTCTGTTATCTTTCATTGATGCGAATGAACTCGCTTTTTTATAAAGCCAAACAACAGAAATCACTATTGAAGAGGTTGATTATGTTTGACCTTGAATTAGAGCAGTCTGGTTGAGAGTGACGACTGGTTACGCCTTCACGTAGCCTTCTGTGCAGGCCTCCGGGCGGGTGGGAGTTTGATACTGCGTTTTGTAGAGTTTTAACGCGTTCTTTTAACTGCCAACCGTCCTGCAACCAGCAGCCGAGATGAGAAGTGTTCCATCTACCAACGTTAAAAACTCTACAAAACGCAGTGTCAAAACTCCAACCCGCCCGGAGCCTGCACAGAAGGCTACCTTTTCGGAGAACGTCATGCAAGCCCCCGATATGAGAGACACACAGAAAACACACACGAAACAAGCTGTAGTACCTGACAACCTCGCGTTGTTGTTGTTGTTGCTGCATGTGTGGCTGTAGTTCATGTTTGACCTCCGCCATTTCTGGACAGTCGCACTGGCTCTCGCTGTAGTACAGCCAGCCGAGCCACAGCACGTCTTCAACCAACAGTAGCAGGCAGAGGCAGAGCAGCGGGTGCCGGTACACGAACGTCGCCCTCCCGCCGCCGGACCCCGAGTCTTTCCGCTGAGCCCGGGCATGACTTTGGAACGATGTACTAGCAGTAAGCGGGGGCTTCATTATTGTGAAGTGTGTATGTCAGACGGAACATTTGTAGTTATAAGTTGTGGGACCGGCGGGGCAACTTACACGTGTGATGACGTGGTCGTGATAATAGGTAGGTTCAAGGATAAAGGACACTCAAAATGACGTGTACCCAGTAAGAGTTAGCCTCTACTAGGCCTCTGCAAAGGCTTTAAAGAGTAGAAGTCAACCAAATACACGGATAATATGCTATCTGTCTATTTGGCAAATTTCTACTGTTTTCAACTGCTTCCGAAGACTGGTAGAGGCTAAGTAAAAGTGACAGACTTAATGATTAGCTCCATAATTTTGCTCCTTTATTAATTTCTTCTAACATTATGCTTCTTTAGATAGTAAGATCAGACTCAAAGTTGCCATAGGTTGTCTATAAATTGGGCAGAAACTATTGTTGCCAAACAACTAACAATATTGCCTGAAGCAAATGACCACGGCCTCCGCAAGGTCATGCATTGAAGGCGGTCGGATCAGAGACAGACAGCCTGTGTTACGAGTACACAATCTCTCGCTGCCAGCGGCGCTATTTGCCTTTAATGGTACGCTCTGTGTACGCCTTTGATGGAATCTCATAAGGATACGTGTCAACTTTCTTATCATGCGCGATGCCATTTTATTCAACAATACAGCAAGAAAGCATGCATTGTTTAATAGAAACACACAGATTCGATATACACCTGATGAAAGTTGAGTCAAAAAGATATGTGCAGTCCTCAATTACCAACCAAAACTCTTTTTTTACACAAGTAAATAGTAGGTAATAGTAGGTAGTCTGTATACTTCAGTAAGATTCTACTGTAATTTTTACTTCTGCTTGATATATGACCTGTATTTAGCTCGTAAGAGCATAAGCATACAATAAGGTCTTTCATTAATTCATTAACCATGTTTTATGTTTTCTTTTTTGGCCTTCTACTTGGTACTGGTTTCCTTTATTTTGCGCCAGTCGAACGGGTGGCAAATGGATACTGTTTTGACAATTTGATACTTCTTGGAGATTACTAGTAACGATTTTTAACTGGATATGCCATTCACATCAGTCTCCATGTTGGTTTCGCCACGGTCGGTCCGAGCCCGACGATTCCGAAGACGTAGACCGAGGTGGTGGCCCGCATCCGGCGGACGAGCTTGCGCGCCTTCCCGATGGCGTGTTCCAGCGCCTCCGTCGCCTTCTCCGACACCGTGATGGTCCCGCGGAACTTGTCGTGGAACCGGACGCCGAGGAGCTCGTCCGCGGACATACCTGAGGCGCAAAGGATAAAACTTGAGAAGAGTTTTGTACATGATATACAGATTAGTATTGCGTCGTATTTGATACGATGAACATCATTTTACACTAGTTTGTACAACGAGTTGAACTTAATAGACTGATAACACCTATGTTTCCCTACTTCATACACCTAAGCACTAATACAGACAAATGGTGATGATGTATATGATGATGATGATATTGAATATTGGACTATTCTAATTGAGTCCCGACCTGGCTGCACATTCGATAAAAACGTAATCAGGTCGGGGGGGGTGACCTCAAACACACCTGGACACCGTCACCTGGCAACAAGAGATTTCCCATTCGGAGCACAGGAGACCGGCCAGGGCGAAGGGGAAACGAGTGTCAGTTTGAATCTCGCAGTACGCCCTTTGCTTCTGGCTGACTTTTGTTACCTTTAGCCCTTCCCCGGAGATCGCACAGATGTCAGACACAGGATATGGCACAACCCACCTGCAATGGTCTTCGCACACCGCTGCAGAAACACCCTGTCCGTGTAGCTGGGTATCCAGCTGCCGCCGTTGTGGCTCAGCACGCCGCCGGTAGGGAGCGCTCCTAACTGCGCCACGCTCACGGCCACGTACTCCAGGTGGATAACTGCCACCCATGACACCTGTAACGGAAGGAGGTAAGTGCATGCTGTGATATGGGGTTAAAATTTATCTTAACACATCTCGTAATCGCATTGGAAAGGTTTTACAGAAAGCATGAATTGGGCTTTAATACATGCATTGCATTATGATAAAATATAATCAAATTTTGCTTGTGGCGTACATTGGCAGTGACTTAATGTCATTGACAAACATACTTTACAGGACGTACCTCTCCCCACCCAGGTGTAAAAAAGGTACCTGACTTCAGTTGGGTAGGTAAAACTTTTACTAAAAGGCAGTGGAAGGAAAAAGCTATGATTCGCCTTCCAATACCGTTCCTTAGACACTGTGGTTTGAAAAGACCTTGGTACTACCTTTACCTTTATTGTAGCCACCCGCCCTACTTTCCCCAGCGCCCTGGACCTTAATACCCTACTAGAGCGGAGTTTGTGTTACAGAGCTGTTGACTAGATCATGTATACCTAATGCTTCGGTTAAAATGATAATTCGTGTGTAATATACAATGCACTACTATATCCTTCTACTCGTAGAAATGATGATTCCTACACTGTCAGGGATGTCATCCTCGTTTTGAAGCATCCTAACCGGAACATCTGGCTCTGCATCCAGGTCCGCACTACATCCCCACGGACCGTCATTAGATGCGGGGTAGATCACTACATCTGTAGTCTCCACTGGAAACAAAAGCCGACAAGAGGCTGAGTAGAATAAGAAGTGATATGCCATGCATCAGAAAAAAAGCGCACCCTCCCAAAAAAGCCCTAGCCCTAAACCTACTAATATGAATACATACATGTATTTGTTCATTCAAATCATTTCCATCTTGCTACGACTTTACCATGATAGTCACTTGTGTGCTTCTTATGTTGCGTTGTTTGAGTACACATTCCTAATAACCTGTGGTTTTCTATACTACAGCCATATCACCAAGTAGGTTCCTAATATGACTCCAAATAAGTGATTGCATGTTTCCGTTGTGAATAATTGATGAATATATCATATTTTTTCAAGTTGGTAAAACACGGCTGTCAGACACGTATACCCTGAAGCATGGACTCTTTCACACTTTTCAACGACCATTCATGTTTCGGTTGATGGAGCATAATTTTCAAGCTGACCTTGGCTATTATAGATGAAGAACACTCTCTTTCCGGTATAAGATGGGATGGTTGAAAATTTCATGCATGTATAAAGAACATTTGGGCCACATCTTGCGTGTTTTGTGGTCTTTAAATGATACATACTAAATGTTTAGCATCATATTCCAAATACGAATCAAGGGTGACAATGCGGTGCGTGAACAAATAGTATGATGTAAAAGACAACAAGGCACGAAAAGTTTTAAAAGTTAATCATTAGAACTATTAGCGTATGTTCTTTATCTGAGTTGTTTTACCTTGGTCCACAGACTTGTCGATTGTCCACGCGTCCTGCCCGTCCGCCATGTAGTATGACCGCGCGCACAGGGCGGGCGGCACGGCCGTGAGGAACGCCGCCTTGAACCCCACCCGGTCCATCCCCCTGCCGATGGCCGGAGCCAGGTCCGTGCCGTACAGCCGCTGCATGCCCCGCCGCAGCGTCCGCAGGATCTTACTCACCGTGTCCAGAACAATCTGGGGGAAGATGCAAACAAGGACTATATATATTATGTCCTTGATGCAAAATAGCCTCTACCATGCTTCAGAAATGCTACTATTCTTCGCTGGCGACCAGAGGTGAAGCGCGACTTGCGATCTGCGAGGAGACGCAAGTTAGCCTCTACCAGGCTTCAGAAGTAGCCTGGGTGCCAGAATGTTTTTATGACCTACCTAGGCCAGGTTCCTTGGATACAGGGCCAACATGCCACCATGAAAATTATACCACAGACCCCCCCCCCCTCAGTTAGACCCTGATTCACATTGGCCAAGGTATTATGGGTCTGGCATCCAGGTTACTTCAGATGCGGCTGGAAAGAGTAGAAATTGGCCAGATGGGCAGATGTCATTGTATTAGCTTTTACCAGGTTTCGGAAGCGGCTTGAAAAAGTAGAAATTGTCAAAATCGACATATAACATTTTTCGGGGTACGGGTAGCGAGTGCAAAGGAACCCCGTAACAAAACGGATGGCACTCGGGCTAGTTTTAAGCCATATGTAACCTGTTAATGTTAACAAAGGTTATATATCCAGGATGTTTCTATATGACTTGTTCTTTGAGGGATCGGAACGTACGTATAATGTACAAATATACTTGCAAAGTATTAACTACAGACCACACAAACAGCGACCAACCAAACTACAGCACGGCCTTTGCAGGAGGTGCTGAAAGTCCTGTTGCCGTACCTGAGTCGGCGGAGCTCCCTCCATCTCTGCTGACTGCCCCGGCCGATCGTCGGATGCTGTCACCGGGGTGGAACCAGACTGCTTTGCCATTATAAACACTGAACAAACCCTCAACACACGTGAGCAGTTGTCAACATCAAACAAATTACGTAACTTGATGTTTATGCTAGATCAACCGAGCCCCGGCGACTCTAAAATCTGATGTTAGAAACTGCAAAGATCAAACTCGTTGCATTAACAAAGCGCAAAATAAAGCACGGCTCCTCACGCATGTCCTCCGCACCAGTGGCACGACATCACAGCGAGTCTGTCACGACAACGATCAAAGCAAGGACCCTCTTGATCTGGAACAAACCTCTGCATACGAACCTATTTAAAGTCTGCGTTATATTTATAATGGCTATTAAAGTCTGTACGTGTTATATTCATAATGGCTACATGGCAACATTGTCACATACGGTAATGCTCTCTACGTGATCAAAGGTAAAATCCACGGCGTGATAAAGATTAAGTCGTGATTAGTGTGGATTAACACGCTCCAGTGATCTACGCTGTCCTAACTACCATTAGGGGTCGTCTCAAAGGTTCCAGGTTTGCAGCAACCGCGTCGAAAAGGGCGGAGCTTACCGTACTGTTTAATTTCCTTTGGGGTTTGTTTGAGCTTATGTTAATTCATGAAATACTAAAATCAGCTGCTGACCGCTATTAATCAAAGTTATACCTAACTATAGAGTTACTATAGAGAAATGATCCGAGGAAAGCATAACTATGATTTTTTTCTTATTCAAAAAATCATATGATGATGAGAATAAGTCCAACTCACGAAACTTAGTCCGTTCCGTGCAGAAAGGTCAATGATCAACATGAAAAACAAAATATGGTATAAAAAATGGAGAGCCTTAATCTTAAAATGGAATAAAAAAAATCAAATGCCAAGAACAACGGACTTTCACATTTCCCGAACATCCCTTGACTGTAAGTGCCAAGTCAACTCTAATAGGGGTTTAATGACGACCAGCATCCAAAAAGGGAAAAGGGTAAGCTTGGTCGGCGCCGACGATCCCTAACGCAGACAAGTGTGATGGTCGTTAGCGTTCACGTTATGTGCGATTAGTCTGACATTGTAGGCTCCTTTGCAGGCGTTCCGGAAGCGCTCGGCGTTCTTCTTATCCGCGCTGGAAAAAAAAAAGAAACGCCGACCGCTCCCGGGACGTCTGCAAAGGAGGCTAATGACAACGAGCCAGCGAAAACGTCCATGTGCACCTGATCTTGGTTGTACCCTACTCTCAAGGGGAACACTATACAGGAGTGACAAGTCTGACACACGCTATCCATGCCTGGATAATTAGATTGAAGATCACCTTCGATACAGGTATAGTCAACACACACGTAAAGATCACCTTCGATTCAAGTATAGTCAACACACACGTAAAGATCACCTTCTAATACAAGTATAGTCAACACACACGTAAAGATCACCTTCTAATCTATACAAGTATAGTCAACACACACGTAAAGATCACCTTCGCTACAAGTATAGTCAACACACACGTAAAGATCACCTTCGCTACAAGTATAGTCAACAAACACGTAAAGGTTACCAAGCAGAGCCATGCATTTATTGTAATCGGATGATGAGATCTAGTTATCTGGCGTCGACAGTGTAAATAGGGTGCTTATGTAACTGGTATTTCCTTTACTTAACGTTAAGTATCAGATGCAGGGGAGTGTGACAAAACGTTGGTATTCTCTCCCAGTGTTTCACGTCTGTATCGAGTCTGAGTTTTAATCTTACATAATTTATGCTTTACTTTATTTCCTCCATGTGCGGATGTTTTGTTTTCGGTGTTGTTTTCAACAGTACACGCACAGAATAATCCTAATCAATCATGAACACTATGTACTACTATTTGTGTATAATATTGATCTTAATTGTTTATTTTATGTAACGCTAACAGCCCGGCCGGGCACTAGTTTGGAAAGGTGACACAGGAATTAGCGCCACACAGCGACAGCCGCGATGAACTGCAGGGCGATGATCAGCAGTGCTGATGGGAGAGTAGAAGCGCCACCGCTGGTGCGCATGCTCTCGGGGCACTTGTCCTCCGCCCAGGCCATTATAGAGTCGTACTTTCCGTCTGCGATCGGGAAAAAAGTAAGAAGTATTTGTTAAGTGTTTGACATGAAGCATCTTCAGTTGATGTTACGTGCTGACCAAACAGTTTTGTTATACCTAAAAATGGTCAACACACAATTGTACTAGGTCAAAATCATATAGATTATCATAACGGTTTAAACTCTAGTATATTTTGATACTCCGTTAGTGATGACTATGGAAACTTTCCATAGTTATACAAATATACAAAGGCTTTGGTTCTCCAACGTGCCGATTCGTCCCGATGCGTTTTCAAATCCCACATGTACGGTGGCCCACAGGCACAACTGTCGTCGAAAGTTGTACCTGTGGGCCACCGTACTCCTAAACTATATATGGACAGCATGGTTTTCATGACGTACCTCCTATGTACTCCATGATGATAGGAGTATCCTCGGGACCGCAGTTGGGCTCGTCTGCTGTGATATTGGCCACAACAGCATCCATTTCGGAGTACATACTGTAAAAAAAGAATTTATAAGATCAGTAACGTCCATGGCTGGGTTTTGGGACTATCAAAAGAAAATTGCTTTATCCATACTTTATCATATCATATTTCGCTTTAACAACTATACTGTTAGATGCGCAAAGGGTCGTTTGGTTTAATGCAGCCTTCTGCCGCATCGCAGGTCTCGAAGCTGGTGTGTTGCGCCGAATGTCGGTTATACTGGTTATACATATACATATACAGAAATAAATTCGAACACAACTCCCCGCAAGACGGTGCATGCGTGGAAGGAAAAAGTGAAGTAAGAGAAAGGACCTGCAGAAATCCTCCTCCATCCCCATCTCCTGTGTGTCGGTGAGAGAGTCCATGTAGTCCCGTACCTCCTGCCGCATGTCTGTCCCCAGGGACTGCACACACTGAGTACTCGTACTGTTCTCAGCGTCACGTTTGCCACGGGATCCTACGACTACGTATACAATGTAAATAGATACATAAGTTAGAAAACCAAATACATATTAGGTTTACCATCATTTGTTCTAGCCCAATAATAGACTGCTTTGTTCATTTTTCCTTTAACACATTCATGCATGTGGTGACCAGCCCACCAAACACTTGCTACATAATGTGAACCAACACCACAGACAAAGACCAATCTGAGAACTGGCCGCTCTTTCTGTCCCTACCGTAAAAGACATATATTTGAAGGAAACATATTTCCTTACCACAATGCGGAGAAGGGTTGGTACTTGTCACCAGGTACATGCTGCCGTGAGAGTTCGGGTAGTTGATGGCAGGATACCCCATCACCGAACAGGCACTGGGAAAACAAGAAACAAACACACTGTGTCAAGAGCAAGGGTTTTAACGTTGAACAAAGCGGCTTACCAAATTTCGAAACTATCCGTCCATAGCTTCTTGAGCTTTATACAAATAAATGCTCACACACAACACACATACACACATACACACACGCACACGCACACATACTCATACACATACATACACACACACACACACACACACACACACACACACACACACGCGCGCGCGCGCACGCAAGCACGCACGTCACACGCACACATGCGAACGTTACCAAAAACATTATTCCATTGGTAATTTATTACATAATAACCTACCCATCTGACAGACCAAGGGAACAGCTGTCACATTGTCCCCGGTTCCAGTTGAAAGTGTCCCAGTCCCGACAGCTGTAGGCCAGGAACCGGCAGCCCGAGCTGATAGACTCTGTGTAGAACTCGTGAGCTCGGCCGTGGCTGCAGCCCAAGTCTAAAAGAGATGAAGAAAGTGAATAACGTCAGTACTACAGGAAAACTATCCGTCAATAGTCTCACCAGGAAGGCAATTCAATGGTTAGAAACGCCCCTGCAGTTCCAAAAGAAAGCTATACCAGGGCGCGCGCCCACTTTCATATCAGCACAGGAGCTACGTGCTAATCTACTACTCAAAATTTGGTAGCTACTACTACTAGCTGCTTCCGCTGCACTACCATAACAAGCCGCTGGGTGACCCAAAATCAAAGTTGCTAAGCATAACTTGAAAGGACTTACGCCCTACACATCCTGGTTGAAGCCACCCTTCGTTCGGGTAGAAGTCGACGTGTCCGATCGGCTTCAGTTTTCCCAGCAGGAAAATATCCGTGTGGATGACGTCGACAAACGTAGCGTCACCTCTGTCCAACCTGTTTTCGGGGCGGGCTCGTCTGAACAACGGTCCCGCCGGGTCCAAGCCTGCATGGATTTGTAAAGGAAGCGTAAAGATATACACTATATTTACGTTGTATTTAAGCGCACTGAAAGGTGACGGAAAGGCGGATTTTTGCCTTTCAGCGGCCTTAACGAAGTCGCAAAGTCTACTGAAATATTTTCCCACCTTTGATATTTCTTTACATATTGCGGAAAGTTTGCTTAAATGTCTGTTTTCGTGCTGTGCTGTGCTGCGTCAGATAAAATGGCGTCAGAAAAAAAAAAGATGATCGCAGACTAAGCAGCCAACGTCATATGTAAAAGACAACAAAACAGAAAAAAGTTTTTTTAATGAGTCATGGGCACCATTTGTATATATTCTTAATATACATTGTTTAGCAGTTGTTTTTAGACTGAAGGTCCAGGTAGAGGATGAATTGCTTTCTATTTAATCCTGGATAAGCGAAGACATGAAAACACCTGAGATTCGCGCGACCATGAGTCCTCTCGACTTTGCAGCCTTCCCGGCGAACCCCGCGGCATGAGCGCCCAGACTGTGCCCGATGATGTGGATCATGCTCGCGGGTTGTCTACCGCATTCCCTCTTATGTCAGGCAGACAGAATACTTCAGGTGATTGAGCCTGTCCACCCCCGTGTAGACTCTAGTTGGTATCGCCCAAAGTTGAAGGGTCACCCTCCCTGCGCATGCGCACCAGTCTAATTTTTTTGAGCAACCTGTAAACACCTTCGTGTTTTGCGTTGGTATCATGGGGTCTAGGCGTGAAAAGCAACGCGATAGACATCGTTCGAGGGCGCCTTCGGGTCCTAGGGCGACCGAGGAGAGTTCCAAGCGCGACCGTGGCGGTTCCCGGCGGCGTTCCAGCGGCAGGGAACGCGAGGAAGGCGGGACAAGCCCGGGCGGGTCGGCGCACCATGTGCGTGAAAACGACCGCCATGACAGTCGTCAGAAGTCGTCTTCTCCGGCTATGCCGGTTCTCAGCGCTGACGGAAGCCAGCAGGAAGGCGACGGCGAACAGAAGCAGCCGCCCACGGTTCAGCAAGACGGCAACTTGCCGTCTGACGGAGACATAAGCAGTAGTGGCGGCGACGGAAGCAAGAAGACGCATGATAGCGAAACGGAGTTTTCGCCAACAAACGTCCGCATCTCTGCCTTGGAGCAGAGTTTTGCGTCCATGTCTCAGAGGCTAGAGGCGTTCCAGGAGCTGATGTTAGCTCAATTTGAGCAATCTTCACCGAGGAAACGACGCAGCGCTCGTCCAGAGACGGCAGTTCCTGAGAAGCGCCGGAAGGAAGATAGCGCTAGCGCCCGCAGTGGCAAGCAGCGCTCCCCGTCTCACGACGGGGCGGAAGGAGAGAGCGTCAGCGGTGACTCCGGCGAGCATCCGGCGGTGGCAGTTCCTGAGAAACGCCGGAAGGAAGATAGCGCTAGCGCCCGCAGTGGCAAGCAGCGCTCCCCGTCTCACGACGGGGCGGAAGGAGAGAGCGTCAGCGGTGACTCCGGCGAGCATCCGGCGGTGGCAGTTCCTGAGAAACGCCGGAAGGAAGATAGCGCTAGCGCCCGCAGTGGCAAGCAGCGCTCCCCGTCTCACGACGGGGCGGAAGGAGAGAGCGTCAGCGGTGACTCCGGCGAGCATCCGGCGGTGGCAGTTCCTGAGAAACGCCGGAAGGAAGATAGCGCTAGCGCCCGCAGTGGCAAGCAGCGCTCCCCGTCTCACGACGGGGCGGAAGGAGAGAGCGTCGGCGGCGACTCCGGCGATAGCGACTCGGTGTGGAAGCCGTTCGACCCGACGAACAAGGACACCATGCACTCATGGGTAGCCGACGATGTTGTCTTTTCTGAAGTAGAAAAGTACTTCAAGCATGACCAGCAGCGCCGGGGTACAGACTTAGAGGCGTGGCAGCAGAAGTTCAGCATGCCCGACAACGCTCCATCCACGATGGTTGCACCGAGTTTCAATGACAACATAGCCAGGGCTGTCGTCGACAATGACAAGAAGCAGGGTGAGCAGATCTTTTCTCATGATAAGGCTCTAAAGAACATCCATTCGAACTTGGTGCATATTGGTACACCTTTGATGAATCTGTGGCAGATGATTCAGCGTTGTAATAGTGAGAACTTTGAAGAGTTGCAGCTAGAGATGAGTGACTGTGCTGGTTCAGCACTTGTGTTGCTGGGGTCGCTACATTCTCAGTTGGCGTTCACCCGACGCACGTTCATAGCAGAGTCATCCCAGAAGAAGTTTAGAGACCTTTTCAAGGCAGCATCTGAAGACCCAAAGTTCCTGTTCCCGCCTGACATGGGGTCAAAGGCTAAGGACTTGTCGTCAGAGACGAAAGTGCTGGTTGGCATGCTCAGCCAGGACGACCAGGGGAAGTCTTCAGTGCCGAGGCGTAGTGCTCGTCGCGGCGGCGGCAGAGCAACTGGCGGAGGGTTCAGCTACAGCTACAGAAACTCCCGCTACATGCCACGGGCCAATTATGGCCAGTACAGTTACAGGGGTTCACAAACCCGACAGTTCTACAACCGCAACCAGTCCTTTCAGTCTAAGTCGGGGGACGGGAAGCGGAAGCAGTCCAAGTAACAGACACGGCTTCAGAGGGAGAAGCACGCCGGCGTTTGACCGAATTTCAACATGTACCCAACACTACTCAGCTACTTCACGGAGGCAGGCTAGCCCACTTCATACAGGAGTGGAGGCAGTTGACTTCCGATCCTTGGGTTCTTCAGTGCGTCAGGGGGTACAGGTTGGAATTTGCGAGAACGCCTCCGGTGCAACGACATCTGCCATCTTGTCGAGCAAGAAGTCCAGCTCAGATAGAAGTTCTGAGCGGAGAGGTAGAGACTCTACTTGCCAAAGGGGCAATAAAGGAAGTTCAGTATCAGCACAATCAGTTTGTTTCAACTTTGTTTACAGTGCCAAAAAAGACAGGAGGTCTTCGTCCTGTTATCAACCTGAAACCATTAAACAAGTTCTTAAATGTTCAGAAATTCAAGATGGAAACTCTGGGAGTTATCAAGAACCTGGTTCGACCAGGAGATTTTATGGCAAAGTTGGATCTCAAGGACGCATACTTTACCATCCCGGTAGATGCGGACAGTCGCCGGTTCCTCACCTTTCAGTGGCAGGGCCGGTTTTACCAGTTCCAGTGCCTGCCCTTCGGCGTGGCGACCGCCCCGAGGGTCTTCACGAAAGTGTTGAAAGTTCCTGTGGCTATCCTGCGAAGACGGGGGTTTCGTCTAGTGGTGTACTTGGACGACATCTTGGTGATCGGCCGCTCCAGAGAAGCATGCCGAGAAGCTCTTTGGGCAGCCATAGAGCTCCTGTCAAAGTTGGGATTCGTCCCCAACCTCGAGAAGTCTGTTCTAGAGCCATCACAACGCATAACCTTCCTCGGTTCCGGCATCGACACAACACAGATGGTTACTTTTCTCCCCGAGAGCAAAGTTCTAGAGCTACAGCAGTTAGCACAAGACGTACTGACTGCAGACAGAGGGATGTCGGCAAGAGAGTTAGCAAGCGTGATTGGCAGGCTACAAGCCACAACCACGTCCGTATGGCTGGCGCCGCTGCACTTCAGAAGTTTGCAGCGTCTGCTCATCACAGTTCTGCTTGTGACAAGAGGTCACTGGGAACAGCTCATACCACTGACAGAATCAGCAAGAGCAGACTTAAGATGGTGGACAGATCACCTACCCAGACACAACAGTCGTCCAATCCTCTCACCCGCAGCAGACATTGTGGTGGAGACGGATGCCTCTACTGCCGGCTGGGGTGGGTACAGCAACGGCGTACATACAGGAGGCCGGTGGTCTGTCGAGGAAGGACAGGCACACATAAACATCCTAGAACTGCGTGCAGCGTCACTGACGGTTCGAGCGTTCTGCAGGGCTAGTCAGCAAGCACGTGAAGGTCCTCACGGACAATGTGACGGTAGTCGCATATCTGAATCGTCTCGGAGGGACGAGATCTCAGAGATTGCTGGACATAGCTCTCGATCTATGGGAGTGGTGCGTGAAGAGAGACTTGTATATCACAGCAGAACATGTACCAGGAAAGGAGAATGTCCGAGCGGATTACAATTCCCGGCATTTTTTCTCCGGCCACGGAATGGACCCTGGATCGTCACACGTTCCTGGGTTTGCAAGCGACATTTCCACGACTCATGAAGGGGGTGGATCTGTTCGCAAGCGACATTTCCACGACTCATGAAGGGGGTGGATCTGTTCGCGTCCCGAACAAACTACCAGCTACCTCAGTATGTGTCCTGGCATCCAGAGCCAGAGGCAGTCGGGACAGATGCGTTCACAATGAACTGGAACAGGTGGGATCTGCCATACGCTTTTCCCCCGTTCATGCTAGTCGCACCAACTCTAAGGAAAGCGCGAGAAGACAGAGCTCACCTGCTTCTCGTAGCTCCGATCTGGGACACAGCAGTCTGGTACCCAGTCCTGCTGGAGATGCTGGTAGAAGAACCAGTGTTACTACCTCGCCACAACAGTCTCCTGACACAGCCAGAGTCAGGGATGCCTCACCCAGAGGGCACAAAAATGCAACTAGCCGCTTGGCATGTCTGCAGAGTCAGCACGACATGTATGGCATTTCGCCAGAGGTTAGCAAAATCCTCTTGGCATCATGGAGAGCAGGAACACAGAAGCTGTATGCTTCGGCCTGGGACAGGTGGAGTGGCTGGTGTGATCAACGGCACATCCATCCCGTTTCTGCACCTCTGAATAAGGTGCTAGACTTTCTGTTATCCTTGTACGACAAGGGTTTCCAGTACAGAACTATCAATGTGTACAGATCAGCTATATCTACCACACATCTTCCCTTGGAAGGGCAGCCTCTAGGATCACATCCGTTGGTGAGGCGGTTCATGAAAGGTGTGTTTGAACTACGTCCAGCATTACCCAAGTATAGCTTTACCTGGAGCGTCGGTAAAGTTTTAAAGTTGCTAAGGAGTTGGTCTCCAGCAAGTTCTTTATCACTTCGTTTGTTAACCTTAAAACTTATTATGTTGTTTGCTCTTACTTCTGCGGGAAGAGAGCAGTCTCTTTCGTTGCTGGATCTGAGATTCAAGAAAAGAATCTCCGACGGAGTTTGTTTTACTGTTAACAGTCTCTCCAAGACTTCACGGCCGGGCAAAGTCACACACGACATTGTGATTCCAAGCTTCCCGCAGGACAGAAGAATTTGCCCGGTAACATACCTGAAAGCGTATGTATCAAGAACTAGAAGTTTTCGTTGGTGCGACAGTATTCTGTTTAGAGCTCTTGTGGAGCCACACCAGGCGGTATCTACGTCTACCATCGCTAGATGGTTAAAAACTGTGTTACAAGAGGCCGGGATCGACACCTCAAGGTTCACCGGACACTCAACTAGAGGGGCGTCTGTTTCTGCTGCGGCACGACAAGGCGTATCAACCAAGGACATTCTAGCAGCAGCTAATTGGTCTACAGCTTCTACTTTTAAGAAATTCTACAACAGACCGGTGGGGTCAGCTTCATTCGGAAGAAACGTCCTGGCCTCAGCAGCTACAAATCTCACCTGAAGTATTCTGTCTGCCTGACATAAGAGGGAATGCGGTAGACAAATACAAATTGTCCAAACCTAGTGATGGACAGGTGTAGTTGTCTCCGCATCCCTCGTTGTCAGGCAGACACCCTCCCTGACTGGTGCAGTTCTCCACGAGTTCCGGCACGACCCATCCCGAGAGGGCTTCGGCCAGGTGGAGCTGAAAAACTTTAGACTGGTGCGCATGCGCAGGGAGGGTGACCCTTCAACTTTGGGCGATACCAACTAGAGTCTACACGGGGGTGGACAGGCTCAATCACCTGAAGTATTCTGTCTGCCTGACAACGAGGGATGCGGAGACAACTACACCTGTCCATCACTAGGTTTGGACAATTTGTATTTGTCCCAGCTGGTGAACAAACTTCCCAACAGTCTGGGGAAAGGACAGAATAATGTGAAAGATGAATTATATAACATAGTGACAAACCATCCGCCATATAAATTAAACTTTAAAATAAATGACTGTTATTCTATGTATCGTGACATTCAAAAGTCAGCTAACGATATGTCGTTGAGCCTTCAAGATGCAAACGCTTTGCATTAATAAGGATTTTAAAACTACATGTACAAACGATTTTTTTCTGTAAAATTGTATTTTACGGGTGGCTTTACATAGCGGGTACCGTATCCTGGTTAGTTAACGTCGCTCCCACAGTTGCCCGGGAGCGGACTTGGTACCAAGGCTAGGTTTTAGACTGCAGCTTGAAAAAAAAAAATCATCTTTTGGATGACGTACTTTTCAGAAACAGATACATTCCAACCATGGAAGGAACGGTCAAGTCACAAATTTAAATCTACCCACCCGTCCGACCGTCATGCAGTTCCTCCTAGCCTGGAGATAGTTCTTCCCGGTCAGCCCAGGGCTGGCACCTTCCCGCCAATCCACAGCAAATACGTTCACATCCTCCTGATAGGACAGACAGGCAGAAAAATAGTGACTACTTTTCACCAAATAGTTCGTACTTATACACCTGCATTTCGTGTCACTGACAAAAGGAAGTGGATGATACGTAACACGTCTGACCGTTTCCAAAGTCATATCCAGCTGCTTGAGTAACTGTTTTTATGCGTATTTCATTACCTGGATGTCTAAACTTCACCAAGGTGACTACTTTTGATTTTGTAAAATTTGTTCAATCTCTTGCTAGCTGTACAAAGTAGCAGTGAAATTCATTAAAGAAGAACATCCTAAAAAAATTTAAAATTTCTGGCAGTTACCATTATGAAATTATAACATTTTCTCATTAATTATGCGAACTAGGTCTTTGTTTAATTGATCAATATCTATTGATGTTCCTGTAGTTCTCAATTATGTCCTTTTTGAACCTCCTTGCCATGACTGACAAACCTCGAAGAGTCTGTACGTGTGACGTTATCGGTTATGCGCGAACGAAATGATAGTATGTGTGTAATAAGGTGCGGAGAAAGTTCATAGGTCAAAGTTGACATTTTGGCGCGCTACCCAACATTCAAGCGACGAACCATCATTTTGCTTCTTCGATCTGGGTCTCTAAACGACGATAATTATGGACGTAAGAAACCCTGAGCACCCCAGTGCGGTTCTCCGCGAACTCAACAGTCTGAGGAAGCAGGGAGAACTGACAGACGTGGTCCTGGAGGTGGAAGGAAGAAGGTTAGTTGGAACGGTGCACGTGGGGAGGGGGGCACGGTTGCGGGACATCCCTATCCTAATCCTAATCCTAATCCTAATAGTTTATACTAACTTGTCCTAATAGTTAGTGGGGAATATTGTGATTTTCCAACATACACAGTTTTTTTTTGTAACGTTCATTTTTCGCCAGGACTTTAAAAACATCCAAATTATATAATATGCCCAAAAGTGGACAGCCGGCAGCCCTTTGCAAAACACCCAAGACAGAAACAGTATGTTTACCTTTGCAGAAGGAAGCCATATAATTTGTTTTCCTTTGTCTTCTGCTTCTTCTTCTACTCCAAACAAATATTAAAAGTCGAACTGGACCAGACATCTGTTACCATAGAACCTGGTGCAGTAGTAGTATACACCCTGTGGTGTTGGGTTACATTATGTAGCAATTGGCAGGACAGAGTTGGAGGTGCTGGTCACCATATACATGTATATGAATGTGCTTGAGAAAGAATACATGTAAAACTAAAACAGAGAAAGTATAGTAGGTAAGTATAGTATAGTAACGACTATGTGCTATTTGGAAATGTTTCCTTAAATTTAATGTTATGACATTGGTCCCCAGTTTCCCCTGCCATCGAGCCATCCTGGCATCCTGCAGTCCCTACTTCCGTGCCATGTTGACCAGCGGCTATGCGGAGGCCAAGCAGGACAGGATCACCATCCAGGATGTGAGCGAAGTTGTCATGGCAACCATTCTGGACTACGCCTACACCGGCTGTCTTAAGACGAAGCCAGACCAGGTCCAGGCTGTAATGTCTGCAGCCAGACTGATTCAGGTAAGCTTACTGTGATGTCTGCTGCCAGGCTACTGTTACTGTTAAGTACAAGTTACTGGAGTGTGAGTCTATATATATAGTACTAGTACATTCATGATGATTACAGTATTTTGGACCTGTACGTGTATAAACTTAGGCTCCTTCTTCCTAGTTTTGTCCTCGTTCCCACAAATGTTCAACGATTTCACAACCATAGGTGCAGAAAAGTGTGTATTAAATAAGTCTCGAATGTTCAGTATGAGTAACCATATGTTTGTTGCCTGTAGGTGGATTATGTATACCATCAGGCAGCAGAATACATGAAGGCCCATCTGGACTTGTCCAACTGTGCAGATGTCCTGATGTATGCTGACATGCTGGAGGACTTAAGCCTGGTGGAGGCCACTGAGACATACATAGCATTCAGGTGAAGTTGATAGCCTTTACCTACGTATACATTTTGCACAAAAATTTTGCTCATTCAGGCCTTGAAATGCTTTTTTCTGCAGTGCAGGTAAAATTGAAAAATGTCTGCACCAAACAATTTTTACATGCACCACTCAGACTTTGAGAAGTATGGATCATAATAAAAACTCAGAATAAAGATTACAAAAGCATTATTTCTTTTATACTTCATAGGCATTAACAGTCAATGTAGCAAATCAAAATCCACATAAAGCTACATGTATAATAATATATATGTCTACCTGCACCTAACCTGTACTGGGTTTCTATATATCATGTACATGTATATAAACCCAGTACAGGTTAGGTGCAGGTAGACATCAGAAATACATTTTTACCTGCACAGCTCCAATATTACCTGCACTAACCTGCATATGCAGGTGGTATTGCGAGCCCTGTTATTTGATTGTTTCTTTCTGAACAGTAATACATTGCAACTTCAAAAAAAGAATGCATTCACCATATGAGCTTGAACATGTTTATATCAACCCGTTGCACATGTAACATTCCCAGGTTCAACAAGGCAGTCCTACAACCCTCCTTTCTCCAGCTGTCTCTTCCCCGGCTCCAGTCACTGCTAGACAGGGATGATCTCATTATCCAATCAGAAGATGACGTTGTGCAAGCCGCTCTAAAATGGATCGATTTCAACCAAGCAGAGCGCTCGCAGCACCTCCCTGTACTTTGCAAAACGCTGCGCTTTCCCTCCATCAGCTCAACACAGCGAGAAGAAATCGAGAGAAGGCGTCCGACAACAGACAGTATGTTAGTCTACAGCGAAAGCACAACCCAACGGCTGGGGCAGGAGCGAATGGAAATGCAGATCATTGTAAAACGTGTACGCAATGAGGAGATCCATGACCAGCCATTTGTTGCTTGCCACGACCCTGCCACAGGCATATCTTATGCCATTGATCTGCCAGATGAGCTGAGACACATCTCGATGGCGGCAACTCCTGATGGAGACTTGTACCTGGCAGCAGACGTTCAGACCAGAAGATGGTGTGGTCAGAGATCTGAGATCAAGAAGGAGAAGAAATTTTACCTGTACGACCATCTGCAGTGCACCTGGGAGCCAAAATGTGAGATGATTGCAAAGAGGGCCAGGTAGGTGTTTCTCCTTCATCTTTCAGAAGTGACATAAATGTAATTCCAACAGATTATAAAATGGACAATCTACTGATGAGTCATTCCCAGTGTGAGTTGTTCAGTCTTACTTACAGTCTGGTCTTACGCAGCTTGTACTTTCTGTACAAAACTGGTGTGTTATGGCTTTTTTTATCTTTCTTGCACAGGTATGAACTAGTGTCCCTGAATGGGTACATCTATGCCATCGGTGGTGATAAGAAGAAAGGAAGGGCAGAGAGATACGACCCCAACTGTGACGAGTGGACGTCCATACCACCCTTCCCTCACCCCGTGTCCGAGAAAGTCTGTGCCGTTGCTCTTAATGACAGCATCTACGTCGTAGGAGGGGGCAGCTGCTACCGCTTCAGTACTTCAGAGAACCGATGGGACAGGATAGCAGACATGGTTGGACCCACAAGTTATCCACATGCTGTGACGTATCAGGGTAGCATCTACTGTGTGAACTGGTTTTACTGGGGTTTACCGACTGTCGAGGCATACAACCCTGCAGATGGCGCGTGGAAGCGCATTGGGAATGGCACGTCTTCTGTCTTCAACAAGGTTAAACCGCCGAGATATGGAGGGGCTCTCAAAGCGAACCTGATGACGCATGGGGGGACTCTGTACCTCTTCACTGTTGCAGACATTCAAGATCCCCCCAGTCGCTGGGACTATGACGATCGTGCGACAGATGTCCACCAGTACCAGCCGGAGACTGACTCGTGGGTGTCCGTAGAGAGCGCAAACAGTGGCAGGCTGTTTCCACCCAAGAGGAATTGTTTGGGGTCAAAGTCTAGGACAGACTGCCTGGTGGCAAGGATGATCCCAAAGTGCCTGGAGAAGAACCGTTATGATGAGGATAGACTGTGAGAGGCCTGTGATGACAACTTTGATGAAGACAAACTCAGAGTGGGAGGAATGATAGAGACATCTGAGAGTCTAGGACATTTTTTTTTACTGAAGACATTTCTAAAACTGATTGAGAACTTGTTTGTTTTAACTTTTATTAGGATCTCCATTACTCATTTTATAATTTAGTCCCTAATGATAAGACCCAGGGCATGTTTTGAAACATTTGTCTTGACACTGATCACTCTAATCTGGAAGGACAGGGAAATAGGGAAAAAAAGTAGGATCACATTACATTATAATGGCTTAGTAACATAGGTACAACTCTTACTTTGTTGTAAGTCCCAGCAAAGGAGATCATAAATCGTATGCAAACTGTGAAGTAAATGGAATAAGGTAGATCTCATACCTTCATGAAATACGTATACATGTACTGAGGTGTTTGGTACTTTCTTGGAAGATAAACTGACAAACAAGGTTGCAAAAGCACAACATATTTTAAATGATGGTCTTCTGTACAAAAATTACATGTTCATGTATGTATGCATGGATGTATGTATGTACAAATGTATGAGAGGAATAGATAGACGGATCACACATACAATATATATGTATGTATGGAAACACACACACATTCAGCACAGTACCTCCGTTCTCATGGAGGTAACAATAAGAGGAATAAATGGCATCGTCATATCAACTGTTGGTCACGCTCATCTATTGATTGCTCAATTGATTGATGGATGGATGAATAGCTGACTCACTGCCTGTAGCAGTGCGTTGGCCATGTTGAGAATCCACTGTTCCTTCCCGCTATTCGTGAACCCGTGGATGATGAACTTGGTCTGGCGGCTGCTGCGGTAGGGCGTGTCGCTGACGTCAGATTTCTAGTGTCACTGACAAAAGGTAGTGGATGCTACCTAACACGTCTGACCGTTTCCAAAGTCATATCCAGATGCTTGAGTAACTGTTTTTATGCGTATTTCATTACCTGGATGTCTAAACTTCACCAAGGTGACTACTTTTGATTTTGTAAAATTTGTTCAATCTCCTGCTAGCTGTACAAAGTAGCAGAGAAATTCATTAAAGAAGAACATCCTAAAAATATAAAATTTCTGACAGTTACCATTATGAATTATAACATTTTCTCATTAATTATGCGAACTAGGTCTTTGTTAATTGATCAATATCTATTGATGTTCCTCTAGTTCTCAATTATGTCCTTTTTGAACCTCCTTGCCATGACTGACAAACCTCGAAGAGTCTGTACGTGTGACGTTATCGGTTATGCGCGAACGAAATGATAGCATGTGGGTAATAAGGTGCGGAGAAAGTTCATAGGTCAAAGTTGACATTTTGGCGCGCTACCCAACATTCAAGCGACGAACCATCATTTTGCTTCTTCGATCTGGGGCTCTAAAGGACGCCAATTATGAACGTGACAAACCCTGAGTATCCCCGCGCGGTTCTTAAGGAACTGAACAGGCAGAGGAAGAAGGGAGAACTGACAGACGTGGTCCTGGAGGTGGAAGGAAGAAGGTCAGTTCGAATTCGAACGGTGCACGTGGGGAGGGGGGCACGGTTGCAAATTGGCGGGACATCCCTAATCCTAACCCTAAAATTATCCTATACTTGCAGTCACTAACGTATAACAGTCCTAAATAGTTAGTGGGGAAGGTTGTGACTTTTCCATCGTACACAATTTTTTTGTAACGTTCATTTTTCTCCAGGACTGAAAACATCCAAAAAATTATTGTATAATAATTTTTATGCCCAAAAGTGGACAGCCGGCAGCCTTTCGCGAAATACCCAAGACAAAAACAAATATGTTTACCTTTGCAGAAGGAAACCATATAATTTGGTTTTGCTTTGTCTTCTGCTTCTTCTTCTTCTACTCCAAACAAATGCAGTATTAAAAGTCGATGAACTGGACCAGACGTCTGTAGTCTAGAACCTGGTGCATTCATCCTGTGGTGTTGGGTTACATTATGACGTAGCAATTGCCGGGACAGAGTTGGAGGGGCTGGTCACAATATATATGAACATGCTTGAGTAAGAGTAAACATAGGCTAGACCATGTGATGTTAAACATTGATAGTGCTTTGCAAATATTTCCTTAAATTTAATTTAATGTTATGATATTGGTCCCCAGTTTCCCCTGCCACCGTGCCATCCTGATATCGTGCAGTCCCTACTTCCGTGCCATGCTCACCAGCGGCTACGCGGAGTCCAAACAGGACAAGATCACCATCCGGGATGTCAGCAAAGTTGTCATGGCAACCATTCTGGACTACGCCTACACCGGCTGTCTTCAGACGAAGCCAGACCAGGTCCAGGCTGTGATGTCTGCTGCCAGACTACTGCAGGTAAGCCTACTGTGATGTCTGCTGCCAGACTACTGTTACTGTTACTACAAGTTACTGGAGTGTGAGTCTATTTATGCAGTACTTTGATGATCCAGTATTTTGGACCTGTATATGTATATAGGCTCCTCCTTCTTAGTTTTGTCCTTGGGCTGACAAACGTTCAACGATTTTACCTCAGAAAAATGTGTAAGTGTAGAATGGTCAGTACGTGTAACCATGTTTTTTCCTGTAGTTGGATTATGTATACAGCCGGGCAGCTAATTACATGAAGGCCCATCTGGACTTGTCCAACTGTGCAGATGTCCTGATGTATGCTGACACGCTGGCGGACTCCGGCCTAGTGGAGTCCACGGAGATATACATAGCATCCAGGTAAATTTGATAGCCCTTACCTACATATGCATTTTGCAATGAATATTTTATTCATTCAGGGCTCAAAATGCTTTTTTCTGCATAAATACACCAGACAAGTTTTACCTGCACTACTGAGACTTTGAGAAGTATGGACCATAATAAAAACTGTTCAGAGAGAAACCATTGCCATTATTTCTTTTATACTTCATAAGTAGTAGCAGTCAATGCAGCAAATAAAAATCCACATACATCTACATGTATACAGTATATAGAAACCCAGTACAGGTTAGGTGCAGGTAGACATAACACATTAATATTAACAGAAATATCCGCACAGCTCCAATTTTACCTGCACTAACCTGCATATACTGGTGGTATTCTGGGGCCTGTTATTTGATTGTTTTGTTCTGACCAGCAATAACTTCAAGAAAAGAATGAATTCAACATGTCTAAATCAACCTGTTGCACATGTAACATTCCCAGGTTCAACAAGGCAGTCCTACAACCCTCCTTTCTCCAGCTGTCTCTGCCTCGTCTCCAGTCACTGCTAAACAGGGATGATCTGATCACCCAATCAGAAGATGATGTCGTCCAAGCCGCTCTAAAATGGATCAATTACAACCAAGCAGAGCGCTCGCAGCACCTCCCTGCACTTTGCAAAACGCTGCGCTATCCCTCCATCAGCTCAACACAGAGAGAAGAAATCGAGAGGAGGCGTCCGACAACAGACAGTACGTTAGTCTACAGCGAAAGCACAACCCAACGGCTTGGGCAGGAGCAAACTGAAATGCAGATTGTCCTAAAACGTGTACGCGATGAGGAAAGCGAGCCGTTTGCTGCTTGCCATGACCCTGCCACAGGCACATATTATGCCATTAAACTGCCAGATGGGCAGATCTCGATGGTGGCAACTCCTGATGGAGACTTGTACCTGGCCGCAGACAGTGAGGGCAGAGAATATTGTGGTCAGAGATTTGAGATCAAGAAGGAGAAGAAATTTTACCTGTACAACCACCTGCTGCGCACCTGGGAGCCAAAATGTAGGATGATTAAACATAGGGCCAGGTAGGTGTTTCTTCTTCATCTTTCAGAAGTGACATAAATGTAATTCCAACAGATTATAAAATGGACAATCTACTGGTGAGTCCTTCCCAGTGTGAGTTGTTCAAACCTTACAGTCTGGTCTTACACAGCTTGTACTTTTTGTACAAAACGTGTGTTATGGCTAAAGCCGGTTTACTGTTTTATCTTTCTTGCACAGGTATGAACTAGTGTCCCTGAATGGGTACATCTATGCCATCGGTGGTGATACGAAGAAAGGAAGGGCAGAGAGATATGACCCCAACTGTGATGAGTGGACATCCATACCGCCCTTTCCTCACCCCGTGTCCTCGAAACTCTGCGCGGTGACTCTTAATGACAACATCTACATCATAGGAGGGGATTCGGAAGGCTGCTACCGCTTCAGTACTACAGAGAACCAGTGGGACAGGATAGCAGACATGATCGAACCTCAGCCTCATCCACTTGCTGTCACGTATCAGGGCAGCATCTACTGTGTGAACTGGTTAGACTCTGGAAACAGTTTACCGACTGTCGAGGCGTACGACCCTGCGGATGGCATGTGGAAGCGCACTGGGAATGGCACATCTATTGTCCTCAACAAGAAACCGACGAAATACGTCAAAGCAACCCTGATGACCCATGGAGAGACTCTGCACCTCTTCACAGTTATGCCCATTGAATGCCGCCATGGTAGCTATTACATCGGTTGCGACCATGAGCCCGAGTACGCGACGTATGTCCACCAGTACCAGCCAGAGACTGACACGTGGGTGTCAGAAGAGAGTACCAGCAGAATCAGGCTGTTTCCACCCGAAAACTGTCTGACGTCTGAGTCTAGCACAGATTTCCTGGCGGCAAGGATGATCCCAAAGTGCCTGGAGAATATCCCTGATATTGAGGATTATGTGTTAGAGCCCTGGATCGGGATCTGATGACAACTCTGTTGAAGACAAACTCAGAGTGGGAGGAATGACGGAGACATCTGAGACTCTAGAACATTAGGAAAGACATTTGTAGAACTGGTTAAGAGTTTGTTTGTTTGATTGAGATCTTGTTTGTTCTATTAGGATCTCCATTAGTCATGACTCATCAGTGATGATGAGACCAAGGGCAAGTTTTGAAACACTTTTCTTGACAATGATCACTCTAATCTGGAATAGCAGGGAATTGTAATGGCTTACTAGTAACACAGGTACAACTATTTTACTTGTGATGTAAGTCCCAGCAAACATCTTATGCAAATGTAGTAGAAAACTATACTAAAAGAAGTAAAATAGAATAATGTAGTAATTACTTACTTGTACCATACTGGAAATCAAAGATCTCACACCTTCATGAAATACTGAGGTTTTTTTTTTGTAATTTCTTGGCAGACAAACTGCTGCTCACCTACCAAATATCATTAAGATCCGTCAACAAATTTTTAGTTATGCTGCACACATGTCATTGACAAATGCACATAAAGTTTGCTGCAGTGCGATTAGGAAAGCCAGGTGGACCATTTATGAACTTGAACTACCTTTCCACAACAGCTACCCACGTCCCAAAAATTGAAAAAAAATCCATCCACAAATACTCGAATTATAACGTTGACCTTGATACGGAGAGATACCGCAGCTGCTAGACCAGGCTCGAACAGAAGGCATACCCTTCTATTAACGAAAGCAATGAAAAGGTTTAGAAACTTCAAGTTAATTCCATTGCATGCTAACTGTATCAATGTTAAATTACAACATAGTACAACAAGCAGGTTAACCATTGATCGATAGATTGATAGCTAGATCAATCGATGAATGGATGGATTGATTGATTAATAAATTGATGGATGGCTCAATAGCTGACTCACCGCTTGGAGTAGGGCATTGGCCATGTTGAGAATCCACTGTTCATTCCCGCTATTCTTGAACCCGTGGATGATGAACTTGGTCTGGCGGCTGCTGCGGTAGGGCGTGCCGCTCACGTCAGGGGTGCCGTCCGGATCCTCCAGTTCTGTCGGGTTTCCTTCGTTCCCGCGTGTGTGGAGGTAGTACTTGACGTCAACACGTCTGTTGAAGAGGCCTAAGAACCGCTTCGTCCGCACTTGGCCTTGGGACTGGGACAACTCGCCTGGGGTGATTACATGTATTTTTGAATATTTGAATATTTGTAATACTAGTATGGTGTATTTTAAACAATGGTTACATTTTATCCCTATGGGTGTAAACAGCTGTGTGTTGCATTTGTAATTGTATTTTGTAACCAGACCCAACAATTCAGCCGAATGCATCTAGGCTACCAGTGGGTCCTGGGATTTATTTGTTCAACAACAATAAACCAGTCTATGTATGTAGTACATGATATGCCATCAGGGTAACGATCAAACAAGATAAAACATAATATTGAGTTTGTTCAACGCGAAGACGGTTTCAAACTTTTATTATGTTTACTGGCTTCTTAAAAGGAAAAGATATTGTTTTTGCTCCGTTTCTTCTTGTCCAAACACGTAAGGTCAATGACCTGGACTAGACGTCTGTCACCATGGTAACTGATGCTGCAGCAGAGACTCTTGTTGCATTACATTATGTAGCAAGTTGGAGCGGGTGGTCACCATATATATATATATGTGTGTTTGAGTAAGAATAATTATAAACAGAGCAATAGTTTGCTAGACTAGAAAACAGTGAAGGTAAACATGATGCATTTGCTATGCAGGTGTTACCTGTCCAGTTTATGTTTTAATTTATTAAGTTCCCAGGCCTGCTCAAACTTGTGAACACCACGTGTGAATGTTCTATTTATGGCTCCTTCAGCGCCAGTTTTACATCAGAGGTGTTCCCCCAGTCTGGGATTCCCCAACATGAGTCACCGTCCAGACCAATCTCGTACCCAGGGTCCCACGCGCACGTCACATTTATCAAAACACTGCCCTGGGTTCGAGATTGTTTTATACCCGGAAGTAATCTGCAGTAAAATACCGGGAACTTGAGCTTCACTACGTAATCGGCCTAACGTTCAACTTGTTGCATGATTTGGCGACCATTTTGACTTTTGCGACCATTTCGTTGTCTTCCTGACCTGACAGTGGTGTCCGTATTGTCATAAGTCGTGCTCCGGAGGGACAAAAGGTGACGTTTTGTTTGTTTACGTTTTCAGTAACGCCATTGACGTTTTGACGATCATGTAGCATGTTGCCCACAACCGCTACTTACCTGCGTGACATAATCAACGTGAACATTGCATATTATTACCTTAAAAGCATGATTACTGTTTGGGTATGTTACCTCCGTCTGGCAATTTGAAGTCTTCCATGATCCAGGCTTTACATGTGTTAAGTTAACGACGCATTGACAATCTTTAAACATTGTTACCGCACTATTCACTGATCGCTTTGGGTCACTGAAAACTCCACATAGTCCAGCTACATGTATTATGATAATGTACGCCTAGCCTAAGGCTGATTAAAGGATCTGAATGGGAATAAACATATCTGAATGGGAATAAACATATCTGTGACTCAAGAAAACCCTGGAGGTATAAAAGAACAGATATACCTCCAGGAGAAAACGTGAATCTTTGAAAGGAGGTCCCGGAAGTTATACGTAACCTGAAACCAAACAACGTTACAAGTCAAGTTTATTGCGCAACAATTGCACTTGATACAATGTATGGCAAGTAACAATAACTATAAACTATTTCTACTAGTGTACTAAACTAACTTCAATGCATGTATATATGTTATAATGGAATGTTACATTTCACTTTGTTGTGACGTTGTTTCTCTTTTGTATAGCATTATGTACATATTGGCCTAAATAAACAGATACAGAGTCGGGGCATGATAACAATATGCTGAAAATTTCTCTACCTGTTCCAGGTGGTGTTATTTTATTCTTACATGATATCATTAGTTTTTTCCTTTCTTCGTTATAGTAGGGACATATCATCACAAAATGAGTTCTTGTTTCACTTCCGCTTTTTTGTTTTACGTCCTACAATTGAAGGTTCCTGAAAACCAGAGACAGCAAATCAACCCAAGTCTGCCCTAACATGCATGATGGCGGATGCGTCGAACACAAGTGTCGTCATCGGGCCACTAAAACTAATCGACTACACTAGGAAGGAAAAGGTGGGATATATAACGTGTAAACACTCTTCTTATCAATACGTCATAGGTTTGCAGAGTTCTGCCATATCTAGACTGCAAGTACATGTAGTATGATCTATTGCCTTCCGAGGCAAAAGGATGCCAACAAGACTGCATGTAATAATACATGTACTGATGTAGGCTCAAAATCTGTTACGCACCTTGCCAATTGATATTCGTTCTTGGCGAAAAATCACATAGTTATGTTATATAGGTGAACAGCGCGCACACTTCAGTAAATACAGAATGATGCAGAACTGAAAGGATTTATAGAACAAACAACTTCTGCTTTTTCCTGACACCTGCCATTGTAGTCCTGTTTTTATTATATGATAAAGTGTATTGCAACTTCATTCCCAAATTGCAAATAAAAAGAACTGTTTTCTTAGTCTTCTGCTAAGTTTTCCGTGAAGAGGAACTAACATTTCTGCACTTCTGTTTGTTTTCCAGCGGCTGGTTATGCTGATGTGTACAGGGGAAGGTGACTGGTGCAGTGCTCCAGGTACACATTCCTTAGCTTCTAAGCTACCGTGGTATTCATTGTTTGGGTACACTGTTGATTTTTGACATGAATATTCAAGTTAATAGAAGATTATGTTGAAGAAGTCCTGGGGAGTAAACCCTAGTTTAATAAAAAGTCTAGGGAGGATGAAAGACCCGTGTAAAAAGTGCTCGGGAGAAAACCCTAGCCAAAACGGTGATGATGACTCCTCTTACATTATGTAAATATGTTGTGAGGTAATGTAAATGTTTTATTTACTTTTTTATTATCGTGATAATGTTACAAAATTGTAATAAACGAAAACAATGTAACGATTGATTTGTTTCTTCAGGTGGCTGCCGTATCCGTGTCTTTAAGTGCCCAGCTGCAGCGCCTTTTGGTAAAGAGACGTCAGACAAGATCAAACCGAGTCTTCTGCTGCATGATTACGTCATCACCCCGGCCACCGCTGTCAACGTGGAGAAAATCAAGAGGAATCATGGGTAGGTTGGAAGGTCAAATATATAAGGGACCATGCCAGTTTTTCATGTGACATTTTTACAAAGCGTTAGCACTTTAACACGATTGAACGCGCGTAACTGTAATAGAAAGAATACGTTGCACCAATACTCCATGTGGCATTGGAAGTCTTAATATGGCACATAGGTTAGACAACCAGTAGCATGAATGTATGAACATTTTTAATATTCATATATTGAATATGTTAGATGTAGAACAAAGAAACGTACACATAAGCAATCACATAAGTTTTCTTTTATGAGATTCCAAGGGATATGTTACTTTCGTTTCCAAACGTTCGTAGATGAACGATTTTGTTGTCATCAGTATCTAGAACCATATCGATGACTGTCTTTATTTTGTTGACTTTTAGGAAAGTCAAGCTGGTGGTAACTTTTCGTGTGAATGAAAACGACGTTCTGGGCACATCTGGATACGAGGAGCTTGTGTTCAAGGACCAAAGTAAAGCTACCACAAGCCATGTCGCAGAACTAGAGTCTTTTCTTTTTCAAGGTAAGTTGTTGACGTTATTTTCTAGTCTAATTTGATACTAACTACTTTGACTTTTGGGTTCGACTTCTTTTTCCGAGGCAGTTGAAGACGAATGATCCCACTTTTTGTGTAATGTATGGGGTTTGTGATTGATGATATTTTAGTGCTGGCATCATTTCATTTTTTTCTTGTCATGTACTTCATAATTCTACAGGACCGTACGAAGATATGCGTCAGTTCAATGTTGAGATCAGCCCTCACCAGATCATCCCGGAAGGTCCGGCTCGGTTCAACATCTTCCGCACTCACATCAGCGTCGTCAAGAGGTTCACAACAGAAAGACAGAAGGAAAACAGCATGGAGAAAGTTCTGAAGACCGTAAGGAAGGGAAAGATCCAGCGACTTCCCTTAGTCGTGAGACTGGCTAACCTAAGGAGCTACAGCTCGCTGCCGGTAGGGTTTCGTTTCGACACGAAGCAAAGAAAAACCTACTTTTTCAAGTGCTGCAGCTGCAAAGACGGGGAGGATATGAACGCCCAGATAAAGCTCGCCATGGGCTCACAACCCTCCATTCGCAGTGTCCCTCCAAAGAGGCTAAACCCTCCAAAACCACCCCCAGACAAACCTGGGCCAACTGAACCAACCTATGTGAACGAATGGGAGGCCAGGAGGTGTGAGGAAGACATACATGGGGTGAGTTTTATTCCTGACATTAAAGAAATCTGTGAGCCTGTCCTGCAGTGAAGTATTGAAACATACAGTAGTCTTAGTAGTATAGCAGACCATTGTTAATTCCCAAAGAACAGAAACCCACAACTACTCCACCCGACACAGTATGAACCAGTCCCTGCGACTTCCTAAAGCTAGATTAGAATGCGGCAAGAGAACGTTTGCTTATCGAGGTGCAGTGGGCTGGAATAAACTCCCACCCGGTGTTAGAACTGCACCGTCGATACAGACGTTCAGAACACTGTATGCTCGAGCTCAGTTACGTGACCTCTGACTTCCCTCCCTTATTACGACCTGGCATGACCCCGATTACGAGTAATGGATCACGTTTATGATATTGTTTTTGGTGTATATATTGTTGTATTTCCGTGTATATATGTCGTACCCAGGGCCACTCTGTAAAGCAGTGCTATGTCACTGAGTAGTGCTACCCTGGTAAAAGAATACAGAAATAAATAAATAAATCATAGTCTTTTATACATTTCACACTAATACTAGTAGTCTGTTAAAGCTAGATAAGGGAACTAGAGGAAACAGACAACGGTACAACCCTAAACAGATGCATATCTTTAATTGTTCTAACATCTGTTCTCTTGTAGGGTATCAAGTTGAACGTTGGTGTTTTTGCCGCCAAGCCACAGCCAGGACAGCCCTGGATCCTGTATGTCTGCATCGGCCGCCAGGGGGCGTCTCTACAGGACGTGGTAAAATGTTCATCTTTTTGCTTTTCAGCCACAAGGAAAACAGTGTGATACTGCATATGCATACTGTCTGTCACCTACAAGGGCAAATGTTTTTCTTTAGTACAGTTACATTGAGAAAATTGCTCTAAAGATTTCTTAAAGCACAATTTATTCGGGACGGTTGTCCTGAAAATTATTGACCTTGAATATAACGATTTGAAACGACATCCATTGAATGATTAACTGATGATGACATAAAATGACTAAAAATCTCACTAAGTTGAAGCTTTGGTTGAAACAGAGAGGTTAAGAAATGTCCTTTAAACTTTATTTTTTGAAAGAAGTCAAGATCTGTACAGATGATATTTTCCTCTCGGCCGACAGAAGCAGTGTTTCCCCGGGCGGGAGATGGTGTGTCCTTCCCGCGTGTTCCAAGTGGTGTCGGACCTGTCCATCAACACGGAGCTTCCCGAGGGATGGAGCACCGATAACGTCGTCAAGGTCAGGGGAAAATACATGTCTTGGTCTTACTTTGATTTTATAGTCGGGGTAATCTCCAAGCAGGTCTTTTGGTGGCTGCAAAGACAGTATCAAATTCGGCAGTATACATTTGCCAGGCAGTTATACCATTTGCCAGTCATGTAGTATTTTCCACTGCAAGTAGGCTGGCATAAAATAAGATACCAATACAGCAAAGAAAGCCCGGTAAAAAAACCTAAAACACGTAAAAATAGCCCGGTAAAAAAGCCCCCCAAAAACATCAAAATTACCAAAACCTTATTTTCTGCCTGGAGAGTAGTCGGGGGAAACTCAATGTCTTCTTTACAATTTCCTTTTTTTTCAGTCAGTTTTAGTGTATTATAACGCTTGACTTGCTCTGTGTGCAGGAGGTCCCAAAGGATCAGTTCTCTGTCCTGGAGGACCCGTTTATCCACGAGATCTGCATTCAGCACAGGAATCACGGCAAGAAACAGTTTCACGGACGGATCTACATCCGTCAGGGTCTGAGCGAGACTCTCAGAATCACACTGAATGTCATCACCAACTTTACCCTCTACGTACGTATCTCGGTATCATTTGTCGTTAAAACTAGATTATCCGTCTAGCTCTGCAGTTAGTAGTAATAACTTTAGCCTCTACCAGGCTTCGGAGGCGGCTAGAAAGGTTGAAAATTGGCCCAAAGGACAGATGATATGATAGGGGAATTTTTCCGTATCATCTGTCTATTTGATTTCCAGCCACTTCTGGAGCCTGGTCGAGGCTATGATTAACTTGATTTCCTTCAAATGGGTCATTTCCCAGTCCAGTTGACTTTGATACTCCGAAATTGTAGGACGTGATACATCTTTGAAAACCACTCTAACACTTATCGTTGATTGAAAACTAAGTGATATTCCGCTCCTGATTGATAAATGACACTTTCCATTGTGCAGGAACGAGTTGGGAGGAAGCGGAACGAGCCACTGTACGATCTCGTTCCCAGAGATCGACCCGTGTCATCAGGAGACTCGTCCCCAGCGTGGCTCCGACTGTTCTCTGAGAGGAAGAAACTCTGGGACAGCCTGGACATCCCCAATCTCTTCGGAGACGACTGGAGATTGTTTGCAGAGAAAATTGGGCTGGACTATCAGGTAAACTGCTTCCGTTGCAATTTTCGAAATTGAAAACGCCACTGGCAGTTCGTACTTTCTTATATACCTGCTTTTCTGACAACTCTCTAGTGTCACTGACGAAAGGTAGTGGATACTACCTGAAACGTCTGACCGTTTCCAAAATCATATCCAGTTGCTGCAGTAACTGTTTTTTTGTGCATCTTATTACCTGGATGTCTAACCTTCGCCGATGGATCTCGAAATTATTTTTGCTTTCCTACAACGTCAAATGTCGATCCATTTTGTTGCTCATGAAATCTATCTACTTTTTGAAGCTGCACACAATAAACGTGTTCTCGGTTTATTTTATCATTGTCAGGCTATCGTGACCATAGAAAACCACTCCCACGAACACGGCACCTCCCCGACAGAGCTGGTGTTGCGTGAGTGGGAGAGAGGCAGGACGGCCGTGCCTGTCAGTGACGAGGCGCTGGTTCAGATTCTACACGACATGGGCAGGCCTGACGTCATCCAGGACATGGCGCTACAGGGTGAGAACTCGTCCTACCTTGCAGACACTAAGAGGTTTCTTTCCGGGAAACTTTCAGGAAGTTCGTAAGGATTCAGAAATGCTTTCAATTCCATCCAAAAGACATTGCTGCAATTGTTCAAAGATAGTGTTTATTCTTTAAGGAGAGAGGTTATCCTTAACTAACGTATTAAATGGTGCCTGTCTTGGTCTTATTTTACGTCAGTCCCACATTGATAGATTATTACTAAAACGCAAATTTTCTCAACACAGTTCCGAGGCTGGAAGACTTCCGAGTAGAAGCTACGACACCCAACACCATACACGTGACTTGGACACCTGCCAGCGATGACATTACACACTACGTCATTGAAATCAAACCCTCCGGCTCCGGGTGCGCCCCCTGGTCAAGCCACCACAGACAAGGGAACTGCAGGAGTCTGGTTTTCCGCGATCTGAGGCCTGATACTGAGTACGACCTGCGCATCCAGCCCTCCATTCAGAGAGTCAATGGAGAATGGACAAACATCACTGCGAAAACAGACGTAGCCTGTACAGAACTCTAGAAATCTCTATCGCATCAACACTGGATAGCTTTAAACAGCGCCCGGCTAGTACAGTTAGATGTGCAGAGGTTGGGTGTAACAGCTCATTCGGTGTAATATAGTTACCGAAAATTTGGGTAAGTTTCCAATTTAGTATAAGTGTTGAAACATTCAGCCTTTATTTCATAATGACGTTTACCATCACAGGTGAACTGAAGATTGTCAGTTAATCCCGGAAACAGAGTCAACATTTTACCTTTTTACGTCGAATCTAGCAACATTGATAGAAAATTACGCAAAAAAACTACGAATTCGAAAGGAAGTGCGGCCTATAGTGGGGCGGGGAATTTCCGGAGCAGCCTTCGTAACCCCTGCTTCGCCTATTGAGTCAGTTAGTCAAATTTGCCTAAGCTTGATATTTATTATGACTTAGGGAGAAGAGATGCTGCTGCAATGAGCGTTGGTTTAGTGAGTAAAACTAATTAAAAAGTCATATACCACATCCAAACTCACCTGTCTTCTGGAGTACTCGAGCTTCCCCCAGCATTGCGTAAGCAGTCAGCAACGCCAAGAAGATGTCGATCCGTACGGCCATGGCGTTCTACTACGTTTGGCAGTACAACTCGGGCTTAATCGAAGAAACCTAAATGCTATGTATTCTGCAAACTTGGATCGGATGAATGCCCTGGGTTCTACCTGGCCACGACTTTTCTTTACACAGATTTGAGGAACTTATGTTTACTCTTAAGTTCCTCTTCCAATGAGGAAGAAGCTACAGGAAGTGTATTGTAAAGTGGAACTCATCACGAGATACTTGGAACGTTACAGTTCAGCGGAAGAAAACTATATATTATAGCATGACGAATGAGTGGGCGAACTGTACCCCAAGGAAGTTGCAGTCATATGGTTCTGAGTTTAAGCTTGATTGAGCAAACATTTATGAGGAAGTTTGTACAAATATGGTGTAAATTACACGGTGTATAATTATGCTCGTCCTGTTCAGCTAGCTCAGGTACTTGTGTATTGGTCTGTGGAGAATTTCTACAGCTACCAGCTTGAGCCAAAAATACATGAAAGTTGTTCAAGTTTTTCCTTCCATTTCTCCGATGATTGGCAAGTATGTCAATTGACTATGAAAATTGAACCTTTGAACCCAGTTTACTGTACCACATAAATGTGTGTTAATGGTTATATTGAGGAATAAGGCATGACATTGGATTTTTTTCAAGAGGAGTCCACATTGCACTAAAAGAATATCACGAGAACAGTTACTACAAACGCATACGACATGGTGTACAACGTAACTCGAAGCCATACAATTTACAATGTTTACATATAGTCACATATGGGATATCACATTGCCTACAAGGGGGACAATCATATAAATGATTTGTAAACAACTGCGAGCAAAATCTGCGAGTAAAACCATCCCCATTTGTCAAAATACACTTTCGTAAGGTGTTTCATAAGGACATGAGTATGGGGATACGTGTTTTGTCAACTCACAGGTAGGTTTATTTTGGAAAACGCAACCGTACCCCTTTGATAAAATGGTATCACCTATCCAACATAGCTCCAAAGGGCTGAAAACTTGTGTGTAAAATTCCGAAAATAAATCGTCCACATTTAGTTATTTCCCCTATGCCAGTCGGCTTATGAGCCTGATTCGCTTATTTACAGTAGCGAGGCATCTACTGGTCGTGAGAACGACAAAACTGCAGCCGAAAAAGGCCGAAATTCTGGCCCGAAAAATGACGGCGGCGACTTCCGGGTCGTCTGCGGAAGACGGCGAGGGCGAGTTCTACGTGTGCAGCTGTTTCTTTACGAACAATTTCTACCTGAAGGACTACAACGTGCACGTGGTGTACAGGGATGACGCGCAGTTTGGGGAGGACTACAAGCAGGTTTGTACCGATGCTAACTTTTTCCAACAGCAGAGCGTATTTTATAGTAACGTTATATAGCCACCGACCTCCCTCCCCCTTGTACAGCTGATTACGTAATGACGTCGACTAGCCGTTTGACTGACAGTTATTACGTTATGTCGCTTGTGAAATCTTTCCTTTACTGGTGTGGTGCTTTTAATTAAATGTTTTTATAGATTGTACATTGATTCGTGAACATTATGGCGAATAATAGACTCCTCATTTTCATTTCTTTTCCATCGGAATTGATTTTGGCAGTCTAAGACATTAGTAACGGGGGGTGTCCTAATTCCGACCTACCCCTAATTCCGTACTAGTTTGAAAAATCCTTGTCGCCGCGCTATGCATGGGAGCACGTGCCTATAAATAACCACAAGAATGGACAAAGTTTCTGTGTTGATATCGGTATTCTCACAAAGTTTGTTCCAGTTCGCACGTTCCGATAACAGACGAGTGAAAAATCTGTATAAATTCGACGCTTGTTCGGGGGTTGACGAGCGTGTTAAAAAAACCCATGCGCAGCTTTGATTTTGAAACAGCCGCTTTGGAGCAAGTAGCGTAATGGTACAAAGAAGACTTGTTTGGGACAGAAAAATAGTTATAGATTGTTTTAGTCATAATTTGTGTATTTTAGATACCTAACTCTCTCCTCAGATTGGCCTTTGTTAGATACTAGGTCGGAATTAGGGCACCCCTTTTGCGATAGAACGTTCCACCGGCAGAATGACGAAAAACCTGCCGTAAGTTTCGCGAACCATTACGCTTGGGTGCAAGGCGCCACACTAAAGTGAAATACACAGCTATTTAGCTTTAATCGTTGTTATCTTTATCTGTAAATATTATAGCTCGTGTTAGGTGGGGTTTTGGTGAGACAAACCATTACCAAAGGTATGTGCGTTTGCATGGAACATAGGTCGGAATTAGGACCCCTCCCGTTATAGTTTTTTGTTGTTGAGAATGTTATTTTTTGCAAGTAACGGCATTTGGAATTTGCAAGTTTGCAGCCATTTGTACGATTTACAGTATGGCCGAAAACGTTTTTTTTTTTGGGGGGGGGGGCGGACGAAAATTGTGCGGATGTTATCCACATATATCAATCAAATTAACATGACCTTATGTGCGATGAGTGTGACATTGAGCTAGGGAAAACAGCGATGTGCACCTGAGCTTGGTTGTACCCTACTCTCAAGGGGAACACTATACAGGAGTGACAAGTCTGACACACGCTATCCATGCCCGGATAATTAGATTCAAGATCACCTTCGATACAAGTATAGTCAACACACACGTAAAGATCACCTTCTAATACAAGTATAGTCAACACACACGTAAAGATCACCTTCTAATACAAGTATAGTCAACACACACGTAAAGGTTACCAAGCAGAGCCATGCATTTATTGTAATCGGATGATGAGATCTGGCGTCAACAGTGTAAATAGAGTGCTTATGTAACTGGTATTTCATTTACTTAACGTTAAGTATCAGATGCAGGGGAGTGTGACAAAACGTTGGTATTCTTTCCCTGTTTCACGTCTGTATCGAGTCTGAGTTTTAATCTTACATATCGTATGCTTTACTTTATTTCCTCCATGTGCGGATGTTTTGTTTTCGGTGTTGTTTCCAACAGTACACGCACAGAATAATCCTAATCAATTATGAACACTATGTACTACTGTTTGTGTATATTCTTGCTCTTTATTATTTATTTTCCGTTAACGCTAGCAGCCCGGCCGGGCACCGGTTTGGAAATTTGACCTTAGCAAAACACAGGAACACAGCGACCACCGCGGTGAACTGCAGGGCGAAGACCAGCAGTGCAGACGGGAGAGTAGAAGCGCCGCCGCTGGTGCGCATGCTCCCGGGGCACTTGTCCTTCGCCCAGGCCATTATGGAGTCGTACTTGCCGTCTGTGATCAGGAAAAAAGGAAGAAATGTTTGGTAAGTATTTGACATGAAGCATCTTCAGTTGATGTTATGTGCTGACCAAACAGTTTTGTTACCTAAAAATGGTCAACACACAATTGTACTAGGTCAAAATCATATAGAATCATAACAGTTTCAACTCTAGCATATTTTGATACTCCTTTAGTGATGACTATGGAAACTTTTGTTTTGGACCCCGTGAATGTTTCCAAATCCCTCATGTACGTTGGCCCACAGGCACAACTGTCGACGAAAGTTGTACCTGTGGGCCGCCGTACTCCTAAACTACTGGAATAGCCTAATTTACATGACGTACCTCCTATGTACTCCATGATGATAGGAGTATCCTCGGGACCACAGTTAGGCTCGTCTGCTGTGATATTGGCCACAACAACATCCATTTCGGAGTACATACTGTAAAAAAGAGTGTATAAGATCAGTAACGTCCATTGCTTGGTTTCACTTAGTATTTGGGACTATCGAAAGAAAATTGCTATATAACATTACATATGTACTCATGTTTCGTTTATAAACCATATACCATATAGTAATGGGAGAAATGATTTAAGGTATATTTTGTCTATCAAAAGAAGTGTTCTAGTGCCCTAGAGATGATTTATGGTGACCTAATAGCTATAAACAACCTTTACAACTAGATGCGCAAACGGTTAGTTGTGACAAGTCCTTCGGTGTAATATAAACCAGCTTCAGCCGCGCCGCGCCGCGCCGCTTGCCTGCAAAGCTGGTGTGTTAAATACAGAAATAGAAAACTCCCCGCAAAGCCGGAGTCAAAGGAAAGCAAGGAAGAGATCGGACCTGCAGAAATCTGCCTCCAACCCCATCTCCTGTATGTCTGTGATGGAGTCCATGTAGTCCCATATCTCCTGCCGCATGTCTGTCCTCAGGGACTGCACACACTGAGTACTCTCCCCGCTCCCAGCCTCACGTTTGACACGGCCGCGGTGTGCTACAATGTAAATGGGTAGATAAACTAGATAGGCAACATTTGAAAATCCGTACATAATGTCTACCTTCAAATGGCCTTAGCCCAAGAAACCGCTGCTTTGTTTATTCACCCTTTAAAGTGCCGCTGAAATCTAATGTCATCTATCATTCATGTAAAAATTTGATATTCCCTTAAACAACTAAGTATGTGTATGTGGTGACCAGCCCATCTGCAGCTACGTATACATAATGTGAACCAACATCACAGACCAATTTAAAGATCAATCTGATTCTGACCACTCGCCGTTCTTTCTGTCCTTACCTTAAATGATATACATTTGAATGAAAAGAAATCGTTCCTTACATGTACCACAGTGGGGCTCAGGGTTGTCATTTGTCACCAGGTACATGCTGCCGTGAGAGTTCGGGTAGTTGATGGCAGGATACCCCATCACCGAACAGGCGCTGGGAAAGAAATGGCACAAACAAATAATAAGTGGCAAGGTTTTCAATGTTGAATCAAGCTGCATACCAAATTTCGCAACAATCCGTCCACAGCTTCTTGAGCTAGCAAATAAACACACACACACACAGAGCGCGCGCGCGCACACACAGACACGCACACACAGACACACAAACGCACACACACACAGAGCGCGCGCACACGCACACACACACACAGAGCGCGCGCGCGCGCACACACACACACAGACACGCACACACACACACACACACACACACAGACATACACACACACGCACACACACGCACACACACACACACAGAGTGCGTGCACACACACACACACAGACACACGCACACACACACACAGACACACACACGCACACACGCACACACACACACACACACACACACACACACACACACACAGACACAGACACACACGCACACTTACAAGATAATAACCTACCCATCTGACAGACCAAGGGAACAGCTGTCACATTGTCCCCGCTTCCAGTTGAAATTTTCCCAGTCCCGACATCGGTGGGTCAGGAACCGGCAGCCCGAGTTGATAGACTCTGTGTAGAACTCGTGAGCTCGGCGGTGGCTGCAGCCGGGCAATTCTAAAAGAGATGAAGGAAGTGAATAACGTCAGTACTACAGGGAAACATATCCGTCAATAGTCTCACCACTTTCGCGCCCACTTTCACATCAGCACAGGAGCTACATGCTTATCTACGAGGGGTGTTCAAAAAGTTCTCGGCCTCACCTAGAAAATAAAGGTCAAACTCCTATTCTTTGGTATAGCTGTATACTATGACGTCTTACATCACTGCACACAAAAATTCAAATTCTTATATTCATTAATAAGCACGTGACGCCCCACGAAAATGGGGTGGGTGAGGGAAAATCACAAAATGGCCGCAACAGACGCGTGAGCTCTGATCAAGTGTATCGATAAAAAAGGATGTCTCCAAAGGACATCCATGAAGACATGGTCAAGACACTTGGTGATGACTCCCCTTCTTATTCAACTATAAAGAAGTGGGTTACTAGCTATAAGCGCGGCAAGGAGAGCACAAAAGATGAACATAGGTCAGGATGCCACAAATCAGCACCACGGACAATCCAGTTGAGGCCATCCATCACATGGTAGTGAATGACAGATGTGAGACTGGCCAACATGTAGCAGGTTCTTTGGCCTGTGTTATGACTCAGTTCACAATGTTTTGTCGAGCATCCTGGGGATGAAAAAACTGTCTGCATGGTGGGTGCCTCTAATGTTTTTTGAACATCAGAAGTTAAACAGGCTGGACATTTCAAGGAACGAATTCAGTCCAATCCATGCAATTTCCTCAAAACATTTGTAACCCAAGAAGAGCTGGGTTCACCACTTTCAGCCCGAATAAAAACAGCAGAGCAAACAATGGATGAAGAATTTTTCCAGGCCCCCCAAGAAGTTTTAGCGAGTTTCGTCCGTTGACAGGGTTTTTGCCTCTGTTTTCTGGGACAGTAAGGAAGTAATCATAATTGACTACATGCGAAGGTGTTAAAGCATCAATGGGGAGTACTATTCAACAGAATTGCGACAATTTAGTACAACGGTCAAAGAGAAAAGGAGAGGGAAAGTACCGAGCTGGCGTGATGAAAATGCACCTGTCCTCACAGCACAGGGGTCAGTGGCAGCAGCAAACGAATTTGGCTTTGAAGTCTAACCCCACCCTTCCAATTCACCTGAACTAGCACCCTTGGACTTCTACCTGTTTCCTAAACTCAAGTTCCACTTATGTGGTCAACGTTTTGATGGTAATGATGACGTCATCTATGCGGTATAGGCCAATCTGGGGGGTCCAGATGCAACCTTCTTCCACAAGGGGAAAATAAAGCTGGAACATCACTGGACCAAGTGCATTGCAGTTAGAGAGGACTATATTAAAAAATAGTGTAAGAAAAATTTTATTGCCCTGACGTTTTCTAGGTGAGGCCGAGAACTTTTTGAACACCCCTCGTACTACTAGTACTCAAAATTTGTTGCCCTAGCTGCTCCGCAACAGTACCATAACAAACCGCTAGGTGACCGTCCAAAATCAATTTGACTCAGTCTGAAATAAATCATCCAAAGTTGCTAAGTATAACTTTAAAGGACTTACGCAATCCGCATCCTGGCTGGGCCCACCCTTCGTTCGGGTAGAAGTCGACATGTCCGATCGGCTTCAGTTTCCCGAAACCTATCTTGGCAGTATCGGTGTGGATGACGTCAACAAACGTGGCGTCACCTCTGTCCAACCTGTCCTCGGCGGGTACGTCTCCGAACCGCGGTCCGGCCGGGTCTAGGCCTGGGGAGGGATAAAATATTGGTGTCAGAGAAAAAGATTATCACAGACAACTGTGCACATGTAGTCGGTTAACGCGGTCGTCATTTGGACTAAGACCTGTGAAAATTGTACCCTCCATTTCAGTGAAAGGCTGTCAGCAACCAACTACAATCAGAAAACTGGCAAATACAACAGCACATACAAAGAAAACAGAACTACAGAATACAGAGGCTATAACAATGTATTTGTATTTTAAATCATCCTTATCATGTCCAAAGAAATGTTAACGGAACTATGACAAGTTGTTCTACCAGTGCAAAGCAACGTGTGACGACAATACGCCACCACAGTGACTACTTTGAAGTCCATCTCTCAGGAAGATGATACATTGCTTTTCAATGATGTGTAACGTCGTGTTCTACGTCCTCGTACCTTAGCCAAATGATGTTAACCTTTATTTATTGACTACGCTAATAAAAGACTCATTTGAAAGAATTATACCAAATACCTGAGATTCGCGCGACCGTGAGCCCTCTCGACTTTGCAGCCTTCCCGGCGAACCCCGCGGCATGAGCGCCCAGACTGTGCCCGATGATGTGGGTCATGTTCGCGGGTTGTCCCAGCTGGTGAACAAACTTCCCAACAGTCTGGGGAAAGACAGAAAAAACGTGGAAAATGAAGTATACAGCATACGCATAGTGACAAACCATCCGACAAACTACGAAATTAAGATTAATATGATAATAATAATAATAATAATAAATAACTGTTCTCGGGTACCAATCTGCGGCTAATTGCCCAAAGGTAAAGCCGGATCGGCACAACAAATCAGTATGAGTCCTTAATGTTCTTGTACAGTCCGTTCCACTTTTCCTTCTGCCTTGCCTGGTCTCGTAGCCACTTAAGAACGTAGGCCTCGGCTTTAATGTTCTGCTGGAAGTACAACTTGACGTCGTCTAGTAGACAGTCCAGAAGACCTCCTCGGGGCCTGCCTTTCCTTGGCGAGAGTTTTCTGCTAAAGGCGATGTTGAGGGCCTTTTGTGCAGGTGAGTCAGGTGACATGCGGAGAATGTGTCCGAAGAAAGTCCATCTGCGCCGGTGGACTTCATTTTGAAGGGGAGAGGAGTTACAGATCTTGTACAGGTTGGTGTTACTGATGTGGTGTGGGTGGACATACCCAGCTAAGCGTCTTAACTGCTTCCTGTGCCAGGTGTCGATCTTGCTGGCTAACTGTTCCGTTAGCCCCCATGTACCACAGTTGTATAGCATTACAGGTAAGACGTAAACGTTAAAGAGTTTAAGCTTTAGCTCCAGGGAGACAGGTTGTGCTCCCCACATGTACCACATCTTCCTAACTGCTGCGTTGGCCAACTGCATTCTCCCGTCGATATCATCAGCGATGCCTAGCCGGGAGCCCAGTGACTTCGTTTTTCTCCATGTCTCCTCCTCCCTCTCCCTTTTCCAACAGATATGTATTCGTTCAGTCTTGGTGGCATTGGCCTGTAGCTTCCATTCTAGCAGAACCTTTATCGCCTGCTCGTGTATGTTTTCTAGATGTTGGTGGGATGTACTCATGAAATCAAGATCATCAGCATATTGGGTCTCTGGTGGTAGCTTGAGCCGCTTGTCTTCGGCAGGGGTTGGTGGGTAGGTCTCACGCAGATCACGGAGGGCTGCCTCATAGTAGATGTTGAAGAGCTGTGGTCTTAAGCTGTCACCCTGGGGTGAGCCGACAACTGCTTCAAACGGAGGGGCTGCTTCTCCTCGGACGCGTACCGCGAGGGTGGTGTCTGTCAAGAGAGCATGTACCATCCGTACTATGTCATCGTCGTCTACCACGTCCTTCAGCACCGATATGAGCTGAGCTCTGTCCACGGTGTCGAAGGCACGGCTGAGATCTATACCTAGGATGTGAAAGTCACACACCTTCGTCATGACCAAGTCGGCCAGGATTCTCTTGGTGAAAACGATGTCGGTTGTGCTATGGCCCCGGCGGTAAGCGGACTGTGAGCGTGGCAGATATAGATCTACCTGAGGTTTACAGCGTTCCAGCACGATGAGCGAAAAGAGTTTCCTAACGCCGTT